GCACCACGTCGGAGTGCAACGTCGTAGAACGCGTCCCTTAGTCTAGAAGGTCAACATGACCTGATTACAGAACGGTATGGTCGTCGTCGAATTTTGAATCGATTCAAAATTCTAAAATCACATTCCCGTCTGAGAACGTTCATAAAGTTCGTAAATAGACCTTAGGAAGTTGCAGCTACGTTCATTCCGTTCGCACACAGTTTAAAACCAGTTTTGAAGAACGCAGTGGCAACTTGTTTGGTGTGATAGCTATATTTTTGCTAACTCGTTCATAAGCAGTGTTAAATACGTTCTTAATCAGTTTAAACCCGTTTGCAATTAGTTCTACCTCGTTCTCAACACGTCCGCAGACAGTTCAACTCGTTGTTAAAACGTCCCTAGTAGGATTGAAGTACGACGGTTCCGTTCGTAGTACGTCCAGCTCGTAGTTAGTACGTTGTCACTCGTTCTAATTGTAGAACGTGACGACCACGAGAACATTTTGAGCATTGTCTAAGTTCTAGAGGACCTACCCGTTCGAGTACGTTCGATGAAGTTTGTAAATAGATCCCAAACGGTTTTTAGTAGGTCCAGTCCGTTCGTATACAGTTGAAGCCCGTTTTCGAGAACGCACTGAGAACTAGTTTGGTGTGATAGTAGGGTTAAATGTTCTGAAGCTGAACAGCCATCTACTTCTCAATACACTTACATAGTAAACTAAATACTGAACTAATAAAGCTAAATTTTGACAGCCCAAAAGTTTTTACGATCTGTATTTTACCTAAAATTGTCAAATTTCTACTTTGCCATAGGCTAAATACCTGCTTAAGGTGATTAATTGTCGACTTAAAATTTTTCTCTGCTTTGAGCTTTCTATCATAATTAAAATACACTCCAAGAATTTTAATTTCTTGAACTTGTTTCAAATGTTCTCTCAATCAAATTGTCACTAACACTGAAAGCATCACCATTAACAATGTTAATTGTCAAAACGTATTTAAAGTTAACAATTAGCAAAGATAAGAACTTCATCAATGTGTTAATATTTGCACCCAGCAGTACATTTGATCCTAGATTTCCTACAGGAGTAATACATTGGCACTGACTAATAAGCTTTGCATTATATTGGACAGTGCATGCCTGGTATGAATGTACACTGTGTAGATAAATAAATTTGACATATATTTTAATGTGATTTTCACCTCCATCTTCTATTTCATAATTATTTTCATTTATTTATTGACTGTAATTTCATCGGTACTATCAATTAAGAAATATAGACCGAAAAGCAGGGGTTATATCGTCGAATACACCCCGCAGGGCTAGGCACAAACGTTTTCTGTACCCCAAACGACAGAAGGGAGTGAGGGGTTCGAAAGCTTTTGTGCCTAGCCCTAAGGGGTGTTTTCGACGATATTACCCCTGCTCTGAGGTCTATATTACGATTCGAACATGAAAACTCACCAAATTGTTTCGAATATTCATCATGGTCCGCCATTACTACGACCCACCGTTATGACGTCACACATTACACGTGTTAACTGGGTTATTGATCTCGAATATAACCCAGCTGAAGCATTGACTTTGTTCACAGTTTATAGAAGGCGTGAATACAGTCATGTTTGAATTAAATATCAAGCATGTTACGAAAACTCTTTGTGAAACCCTTAGCACACGAGTCATGATCAAGACCGAGTGTCTTCTAAGCGTGGTACATCAAAATATGTGTGTGTAAAATGTTGTGTGTCTAGCTACAGGCTCTGTGTGAGAAGATGTTTACTCAAGTTGAGGGGCTTGTAGCTAGACTACCTTAATTAAAAAATAATACAACGTGACTTGATTATGGGTTACTTACAGTACAGTATAGTAAAAATAACCATTTGGTATATCAAATAAGCATGTACTTTTATGTGATAACAGACTTATAGTAGCTTCCTTATGAGAGAATCTAAGGAGAGACAATGCTGCAATGCTGTAGTGTGATTATGATTGGTTTAGTAGTTCATTAAAATCAATCAAAGCAGATTGAGTACTGTAATCTATGGATTTTTCAAAACACTGTTGCACATGTCCAGCATGAAACAATTGTCACGTTGACCATGCTGTTTTGGTATTTATGTGGTGATCAACACTGGTTGTATTGATTGAACTAGTTAAGAAATGAGGAATTTTATATTAATTAATCGTCTAATTAATGCCTTTCGACACCTCGTTCGCCTTTGCAAATCTCACAAATCGTTTGTAAGATATATAGGATTATATTGATACAGGTATCTAGGCTTCTCGCCAAAATGTAAAAAACTCTCTCTTTCTAGAGGCTTTTATGTAATAAAATTCTAGACTATAGCTCATATAACGACGCATCACAATTCCTTTTTATCTAAAGCTGAACAATCAACAATGACGTTTCCAAGTAATCAGTGCGACACTAGGATGAACTAATACAGAAATTAATTATTGCCATTAGGAACATATGTGTTCATTTCCCCCTTTGTTTGTGAGCTTTATTGTATTACAACGATTACTGTTTCCCTGTGGATGTAGACTGCAGAGGTCAAGTCTATGGGCTGGGTGTTGAAGTCGCTCGGCTTACAATCTCACAGCAGGGGCGGATCTGGGAACCAACAAGGGGGGGGGGGGGGGGGGGGTGGGGTTGAAAATTTCAGGTCAGAGGAAAAAACGTCCGCGTTTGCGCGGAAGAAAATTTTGGGCCTAAAACCCAAAAGTTGGCCCAAATTTTGAAACTTTGAGGGCCATTTTCTTCAAAATATGGCCTAAAATTAAAAAATAAGGCCTTCAAAGGCCCAGTAATGACCAAAAAGGCCCACTTTTTGGGGCCCGAAGGCCTTTTTTGGCCCAAAACTTTTTTTGGGCCCAATTAATTTTTCTGGGCCCACCCAAGGGGGGGGGGGCTTAGGAAGTGAAGTTGAACGTTGATGTGGAGAAGAAATGCTAAATTGGTTGCCCGAATAATCCTTTGTATCATCTTGCCTCATATCTCCACCGATATCGTATCCAGCAGCTAGTCTCCTCCTCTCAATGGCAAGCATGCCCTTAATCCCTCCTACCAGATTCAGCGGTGAGGTGGGCGTTGGTGGACCATGATAGTACTAACCCTACTATCACACCTAGTTCTCACTACGTTCTCGACAACGGGCTTAAACTGTGCAAAAACGGATTTGACGTACTTAGAACCGTTTCAAATTACCCGAACAAGTAGGCCATCCTGAACTTAAAGCATGCTCAAAATTTTCTGATGACGTTTCTGGTGACGTCACGTTCTGCAATCAGAACGAGTGACAACGTATTTAAAACGACATGGACGCACTGGGGACACACTTATTCGAACTGAACTGTCGTATTTTAGGTTACTAAGGACGTATTACGATGTTGTGTAGTCAGGCGTAAATTGCAGTCTTGAGTACACCGTTTGTATCTTATGAATGAATTAACAAAAATAGCTACCACACCAAACAAGTTGTCATTGCGTTCTTTAACACATTGCCGAACTGGTTTTAAACTGTGTGCGAACTGCGTGGACGTAGCTACAACGTTTTACGGTCTATTTACGAACTTCCTGGACTTGCCCGGACGGGGAAGGTGATTGGGAATTTTGAATCAATTCAAAATCCGATGGCGACATGGGGGTTCTGTTATCAGATCGTCTGACAACGTACTTCAAACGAGATGACCTCCCAGACCAGGAACGTGATTATCGTACATCAACCATACTACAGATGCGTTATACGACATTGTGCAATCGGATATCGATTGCAATACTTTATAATTGATCAATTCATGGTAATATCACCGGTCCATAGATACAAATGAACCTACTGTTAATAGCTGTTGTTTTGATATGGCTATAGCATATACGACTTAACACAACTTTATGCGTTGGTGTATGGATTATGTGGGCCACGGGCGCATAAACGCATTAAACTGAGGGGACAGAGAAACGTTTTAACTTCCCTACTTCCTAAAAAGAGTTAAAAATTAAGAAAAATGGTACAAAAAGTGTTGTTTTGAGTTATCATCTATACACAATTTTTGTTCTCTTTGCATAATGTTTTCAGGATCATTTTATTCACCTAAAATATGATGTCCGTGTCAAGAAACACAAATATCGGGTGTCCCAAAAATGAGCCACTTTTTGACAAGTATTTTCTCGGCAACTTATAAACTAAGTTCACTGAAAATTTTTACCACGTAGCCTTAGAGTATCATAAGCAAGTTGTAAAAATATAAAAAAGATCAGGTTAATATTCTGTGAGTACTTGGAAATTCAAAAATTCAAAAATTCAGCTCTGTGATGAGACCTCTATTGTGCTTGTCCCAGCTATCAGGTGACAGCATCTCTCAATCAATCAAAATAGCTCGTCTGTGTGGCATGTCTAGTAATTAATTCATTTCATTCTTCCCAAATATCCAGAATCCATTCATTCTCAAAATTCATTGAAGGTGATATTGTTGGAATAAATATGGAGAAGTATTTTTGCTTGGAATGGATTAATAAGTGGCTTTTACAATGACATTTTTTATTTAACATACTTTCTTTAATTCAAAAATACACGTACATAGTACGTATTATATGAGACCAATCTCTAACATACTCATAGCACTAGCAGAAGATACCCTGTAATGCCCCAAGTAAAGTTTTTAAAGAATTTGGCTAATTTATTGCTGAGAAATTACTTCCATTTTTGAAACAAACGTTATGAAGTTCTCGTTGCGTTGCTCCGGTATGGGATCTTTTGAAATGCCATCTTGAATTTCTTATTGCTCACATTACATTTACTTGATCTTTTCATTTTTTATATTTTTATTTTATACCTTGCTAACGATACTCTTGGGCTACTTTGTACGAATTTTCAGTTGCCGAGAATTTACAAATGCTAAATGTCAAAAGTGTCTCCTTTTTTGGGACACCCGATATACAATGTACAAAAGCGAATAATTTCAATCTATCATCGCATGTCACTACATACGAGTTCAAAAATAAATAAGGGAAGTGAATTTACCTTATCTCCGTATATGTGCTTTCTAATCAAGTTGAAGATCTTCGATATTACTCCAACAAAAACTCCAAGCACTAAAACAGTAACTACTAGATGCCACGATTCCAAACTCTTTTGAATTCCTATACCACTATTCGTTCCATTCAAGTTGCCATTCCATAATGCAGATACATTCATACAATCTGTGTGATTCCTTAGCTTCATTTTTATAGTTACATAAAATGTTACTATTTACCGAATAATATTGCGTCTTATTGGTGCATGTGAATATTATATACTGGCATATCACATTAACTAATTATAACAACGTGATTCATGTCACATCCGTAGCCATCTATTTCTGTAATACTTACCCACCTATCAGACCAGACTAGTTCTCGACCGTTCTTTTAAGTCCTACAAAAAATGTAGTAAAACGGGCTAAATCTGGCTGTGGTCGGGAAATGTGTCAAAAATAGTTAGTTATTTCGTTCATAAACAGTTCTCAATACGTCCATCTCATTCGCAGTTCGTTCAGATCGCACAATGTCGGTGTGAACACGTACTGTAATTGATATCCGTCGTTAACGCGTCCCTAGTAGGGCAAAAGTAAGACAATTACGTTTCTAGTCTAATAGGTCATCTCGTTTCAAGTACGCTGCCACACGATCTAATCACAGAACAGTAGAGTCGCAATCGAATTTTGAAATGATTAAAACTTCTTAATCACCTTCTCGTCGGTCCGCGTCCATGATGTTCGTAAATAGACCGTAGATAATTGCAGTTACGTTCGTTCCGTTCGTACACAGTTTAAAACCAGTTCGGCGACGTTTTGAAGAACGCAATGGCAGCTAGTTTGGTGTGATAGCTATTTTATTTTATTCTATTTTTATTAGTCTTTTATCTAAGCAGTCTTTAATTAGTCCTTAATACGTTTAAACCCGTTTGCAATTAGTCCTACCTAATAAACGTCCTCAAAACGTCCAAAGAAAGTTCAACTAGTTCGAAATTTCCAAAATATTTTAGTTATTTTTAATGGATTATTAGATAATCTCTTTCTTGTTTTGTTATTTTTTTCTTTTTGGTGATCAATTATGTAATATCTCCCAATCTTTTTGTACATTAACCATATCAAAAAATGTTGCTTTTGGGCCAGATATTAGACCTAATTGTTTTTCGGATTATCATAATCCCAAGGAGACTCATGTTTCCTTTTCAGAGGTAAATCATGACTTATAGTAGATTTCAATTTAGTCGTAAAAATTGGAATAAAATGCTGCAATTTTGGTGAAAATGGGCTCATAATTGGGGAAATTGGTGATGATGGGTGGATTAATGACAGCTAAAGACTTTATTTTCATTCTATTGTCCCTTATTAAAAATAACAGACAACACATTTGTTTTTGTGGTCAAATAATTATTAGAACTTACGTAAGAGCTATCAAAAAAAGCATGCAATAACGTACCTGCCTTTTTTAACCGTACATGCCTTGTTACCCCTCTATCACACCAAACTAGTTCTTACCCGTTCTTGCCAGTCCTACGAAAACGTCGTAAAACGGGCTCAATCTGGCTGTGGTCGGGAAATATGTCTAAAATAATTAGCTACTTCGTTCATAAACAGTCTTCAATAAGTCCATCTCATTCGCAGTTCGTCCGGGTCGCACCACGTCGGTGTGCAACGTCGTATAACGCGTCCCTTAGTCTAGAAGGTCATCGTGACCTGATTAAAGAACGGTATGGTCGCCATCGAATTTTGAATCATTTCAAAATTCTAAAATCACCTTCCCGTCTAAGAACGTTCATGAAGCTCGTAAATAGTCCTTATAAAGTTTCAGCTACGTCATTCCGTTCGCACACAGTTTAAAACCAGTTTTAAAGAACGCAGTGGCAACTTGTTTGGTGTGATAGCTATATTTTTGCTAACTCGTTCATAAGCAGTCTTTAATACGTTCTTAATCAGTTTAAACCCGTATGCAATTAGTTCTACCTCGTTCTCAATATGTCCTCAGACAGTTCAACTAGTTGTAAAATCGTCCCTAGTAGGATTGAAGTACGACGGTTCCGTTTGTGGTACGTACAGCTCGTCGTTAGTACGTTGTCACTCCTTCTAAATGTAGAACGTGACGACCACAAGAGCATTTTGAGCATGTTCTAAGTTCTAGAGGACCTACCCGTTCAAGTACGTTCGATGAAGTTTGTAAATAGAATTGAAGCCCGTTTTCGAGAACGTAGTGAGAAGTAGTTTGGTGTGATAGTAGGGTTAAATGTACTGAAGCTGAACACCCATCTACTTCTCAATACACTTACATAGTACCTCCTAGTCAATACAAAAGAAATCAATTTTTCCTAAAATTGGTTCATGGACCATTCACCTTTCATTGGAGTCAGTGCCCAGGGTGAGGTTTAAGTTAGATAAACAATTCTTATTGGACCTACAGTAGAGGCCTCGGCTATCATTTCTCCTAAAACTAAATACCCATAGTATTTCCCTAACGTATTGATCTTTTTAAAAAAATGTATATTTTGTATGACCCCAATTTTGTTGGATTGAGACAATTTTAATGGCATGTGGGGAGGGGAACGGGAAGGAAGGGCTGTTTAACAGTGTTCCTGTGTACAAGTTTGATTCGTCCTCTTCTTCTCAAAATCTCAAATTTTCCAAAATATTTTAATTATTTTTACGCATATTCCATTTTATCTTAGATTTAACCCCACTAAGGTAACAGTAGAACGAGATTTCAAAGAATGTACGGTTATACAAATAGGAAAGTACGTTCTTTTTTATAGTTTTTAAAGAATGTACACTTGGCAAGCTATCCTAAACCAGTGCGGCATATTGTGCTAATGTTATATTTAAATTGAGAAAGTACTCATAAATGGTAAAAGATATGACTTTCTAAAATCACTTGCCATACTCTTCCTCGTTCTTTTGACGAAGGGAGAAAATTTGAAAGATGAGATTAAAGTATATACATGTATACACGTAACGTTTAAGACTTGCGGCCATGTACCGTGAGATCTTCACATATTTGTACTAATAATAATTATGATTAACAAGTGACTAATTATTAACATTATGGCATTGTGCTTAAATTAATTTGTGAGATATAATGCAGTCCGTAGCTATTTTCATCTTTCATGATATATCGTATATTTTTTGAAAGTTTTCTAAAAATCACTGTTATGTAATGGTAACGCGTACAGCGGTACCCTGGAGCAGAACAAAATCTGTAAATGAAAGTTTAATATAAAATTGTGTTATTAACCTGTTTTTGTAGTTGTTTACACACATATTTAATGATTTTTCAATAACAACTGTTACAGCATTAATGAATATAGCTTCCACCAGCTGTCCAATATAAGTAATACTAATAAATCACTATGATGTCATAATAAAATATTAAGTGCATTGCTTGATTCTTTGGTGGGAGACTGGAGATCAGATTCCCATATGGGACCATTATCCCGTTCTACCTTACGTATTTTTCATTAACGAGCAGTATCCACGTTTAGTGCAACATACCACTGTGATACTTAACAATATCATTAGTTGTCCACCAAATATTTGAGAAAAATAAACTCGAAGACAACCTTCAATCTGTCTGTTATGGAAAACAACTGAAATAGTCTGCTATAAGTAGTCTTGGATATTTTTCAGATAGATGGACTATAAAAGTGATCCTTATTCCATCCAACAAACGCAAACTGGGCTTCGACAGTGCAAGAAGAGGGAACGTGTTTTATTTTCGCAAAACCGCATCAGCTTATATTCAGAGTGTTTTGAGCTTCTTAAAAACTGGCTTAAACCACAATAGACTACAAACTTGTACATTTCATAGTTTTTGATTATTTACTTTCTATGAATAGAACTCACGCATATTCTCCGCTGTCTCTACTATGCATTTATCATCCCAAGGAACAAAGTTCGCAAGCGATATAGTGAAGCCTTTCGTCCGTTCGTCCGTTCGTCCATTCGTCTGTTCGGACGATAACTCAAATAGCAGTTGGCAGAACGCGATTTGGTTCAAATTTTGATGGCTGATGCCTTATTTGCACAAGACCTCTACTCAAGAAGCAATTTTAAATCACTTTTCAATTAAATGTTTCCACGTTTGTTAAAATGAAGTTTTTGATAGTTTAAATACCAAAAGTGTCCAGATAGCCAGATGTGTCCTCCTGGGACCTGTTGAGTCATTTTGGAACATGTTGAGTCCTGTAGAGTCCTGTCAAGTGCAACAACGTTCTGCTGAGTCCTCTGGAATCCTGCGAAGTCATGCAAGAGCCTCTATCTGTTGCAATGGGATATGTAGCATTTAGCAAAAAGTCTGATGAAGACCGATGAATTAATGAAACTGCTCATTCAACAAGTCCGGCGTTTTCTTCATCGCGGTCGGCATTGCGAACTCAATCGGACTTCTAGGACTCAACAGGATATCATAAGAACTCAACAGGATATCATAAGGACTCAATAGGCAAAAGTCCTTCGACGTCCGATTTTGAAATATTATCAAAACCGGCAAAACCGGTGGTCTTTTCTTCTATTAGAAACGCACAGGACATAAAAAACGCTCAGTGTAAACCGGGCTTAGTATTCAAACAAATAGTCTTTGATATTCCATTTTCGCTGCTGAATATGGCTCAATACAACATATTCAGGATATAAAAAATCAGTCTTTAATCATAATTTTCTTGTAAGATACAGTGATGCTGCAACAAAAGGCTTATTATACCACTTAAAGTTTATCCCTAGAGGCTATTCTTATACCTTTCAAAACGAGGCACATGTAACTTTAATTGAGGTAAAGTGCAATAAAAGCCAAATGCATTCGCATTGTGTATGGAATTTCATTCCGCGATGAATACATTCCATAACCAACAAGAATTAATACTCCTTATTATATCATTCAGCGTTCTATGACCAGAAAATGTCTTGGTTTATCTAATTTTGGTATATACACCTCTCTCCGGAAGAATGTTATATGCTATCTACGTTGTGTTTGTCTCCTGTTGCTATATATTTCTCCAAGGTTCTCTGAAATCAAAGAGCAATTTATTAGAATGAAGAAACTATTTTTAACGGTTTGGTGACAAATAAATCAGTGGCGGATCCGCCCCCCCCCACCCTCTCCCGTGGGCGTGATTTGGCCTTTTGGGCCAATTTATCAAAAAATTGGCCTTAATTTTTTTCCAATATAAACCCAATTTTAGGTTTTAAGGGGCCCAAAATTTATTTTCGCAGGCTCAAACCCCACCCTCCTTAGTTAATATCTGGATCCGCCACTGAATAATAAACCCTTAATATACCATTTCCATGTACGTAATATAACATGTAACTGGTCCTAATTACTCTCCTCTATTGTGCTGCGCGTGCAATGTCTAAACTACTATTAATAAAGATAAAAATCACAATTTATCACGATCACAAGACAAAAAACAACATTAGTCTAATGTGGCATTTTTCTTTCTACAGAGGAATCATACTTTAAACGTTAAAGCATATAATCGATGTCATCTTTCAATTGCTTTCATGCATATTATCAAATAACTGATATGTTCTATTTGCAGACGTTTCTGGAAAGTTCTCAATATGTTGAATCGACTTAGCTCTTTGACAAAAGATTGGCAAATGCAGATTTCTGTGAGAGCAATCACTTGATTTCTCTGCATCTCAGAGACGCAATGCATACAATCATATATGAATGTTTGATCCATTTAACATGCTGACCACACTATGATAGTTTTAATTTAAATTAACATGTTCAAATCCAAAATAACTGAAAATATATTTTCTCGAATAACCCCGATTTTAGACATCACCTTGTACATGCATATCATAGCTCATACCTTTTTCCAGTGGGGTTAATACTAAATCGTCATCATCTACAGATGGTATTATGTCATCGGATTCACTCATTAAAAGCGGGGACTCTAGTTGCATGATGATTGGATCATCCCCGGCTTTTAAGACACACTGACCATTCACTCCAGTGTATTTCTTGCAACACGGCTTACAACGTCTGCAAATTATTATGCAAACTATTGGTAGATGCTCATGCAGTGAAAATCGTTAGTCGTAATATTACCATTTTTCAAATTTTAGTCCATATCTTCTTTATGAAAAGTTAGATTTCAATTGTTCTCTCTAATTTAAGGACTTACCGTTCGCATAAAGGGCTCCATGGTATACGGAAGAAGCATCTAAATTTCTCCGTACAGTCGGGTCCACAAACCTGTGTATTACATACACGCACTTCTTTTCGTAAAAAGTCTTTCCTGGAAAAAGAAAATTGCAAATATTTGTGATTTTATGATTCAGTCGGGTTGTATATCCGAGATGTATGTTTAAGATGCATGGTTTACTAAGTAGAAAGTACTAGATATATGTTTACTTATTCTATACTCAAATTATCATCAAACTATCAACGTATTTTTAATATTTTTAATTTTGGTATCATATCAGTTGCAGTTACAATAATCTTGGACGTCAGGATGAATTTTCATATTAATTTGCATACCATGGTCCTCTATAGGAACATTTCCTGTATCTCACTTGCGTTCCACAGGCACCACACTCCTTTGTGCATATTGACCAAGGATCCCATTCTTCACATGTGGGTGCTAAAAAAAATACAGCACACTTGAAATTAGCAACAGAATATTTATAAGCGAAACAAAGTCTGTTTGACTTAGTTCATTTATGACAGGTAAAAAAAAACTGATACAGTGCCAATTCACATATTTTCCTACAAGTCAATTTCAACTCCGCTGTCGTACGTTTGATCATTATGACAAAATATATCATGCCTTTCGGAATTAGAAGTTGTATTAATCACAGTGCAATACTGATTTGAAGTATTCAATTAATCATACATACAGATAAGGACACCATCCAAACGTTGGTTTTTTTCAATCGAGAGTTAATGTTCGGACAAAAAAGCGCCGTCAACTTTATTTCTACCCAGAAATACCAATGTGCTCATTCTATACTGACCTTGGCAATGGGTGCTGTTGAATTCAATAACATTTTCACAACATGACGCTTTCTCCTTTATACAGGGAATCTTTTGACCATTAGGCTGTCTGCATTTCGATTCTATCTGAATATTGAAAACGGCATCATGATATCTTTGTACTTATATTATATTTTATAATCTTGACGTTACCAATTAATTAATCTGTTAAAAACACTATAGATGTTTAGTGAGTTATTCCTGAAGCCTCGCTTACATTTGCTCGATATCTACGGCGGCTGTAGCTTCACGAAATCGATATAGAAAATCGTAATTGTATTGCATTGTATCTTGTTCACCACCAACGAAGGTGAGCAATACCTCTTAGGTTTATCTACGGTCGTTTATCTACGGTCGTTTATGTACGGTCGTAATTAACGCATGTAATCATGAAAGGCAGACCCAGGAACCCCTCCTTGGAGGAGCCCTGTAATGCTTATCCCAATATTTTATGCTGCATATTTCTCTCGATTTGGGGAAGCTACGGTCGCCGTATGGTTGCTGTAGATCAAATGTGAATGAGGCATTATAGGTAGGTATAGGTGCGCCGATACAAATGTGTGCATACTTTGGCCACACATTTAGGTTGAATTGAGTTCGGAGAACCGGTACAACCCCCACACGGTGGTCCATCTTCGGGAGGCGATGGTGTTGGTTTTTCCCTAGGTTTCGTAGAAGGGGTTCTTTCAGAAGTGCTCATAGTAGTAGGCGTTTCAAAGGGCGCTGTAAAATTTAAGAAATTTAATGTTTGATAAATGGATAAACATGAACAAAACATAGATGTATATGACAAGTTATTTAATACGGTTGCAACTTACTTATCGTTTCATCCATGTGGGTTGACATGTCTGGCAATGTTGGGGCAGAAGTTGTTGTAGTTGTTGTGGTTGTTGAAGTTGTTGTCATACCAAGTGCAGCTTCACAAGCTGGATCTGTAAAAGACCACCACATTTTAACCAATTGATTTGACAATGGAATATCTGGGTAACTCATTCAAAACGCACTATGATAATCGTCTGTAGAAAATGTTCCTGATGCAGCGAACGCAAACGGAAAACTCAATATTATTATAAGATATTTAAAACAACTGTATTAAGATATCCAACTCAATCAACTAAGCTAGCATTAGCGAAATCATCTGATAGCTGTCGACTGGCGACTTGACCGTCATGTCATGGCTAACTTATTTAAATATGAATAGGAGCATATATGTTCTATTCATATTTGAACGAATTGGACACAAAATAGCGATTAAATCGCGGTCAAATCGTTAGCCGACAGCTCACAATCATTCGCCTCTCAAAGATTTAAATTTATTTCAATATCTCAAAGATGGAAGATTTAGATGTCGACTGACGGGTGTCGATTTGATTGCTAGTTTGTGGCCAACTCATTTAGATATGAATACTTACAAATGAGTTGGTACAATTTAAATGAGTTGGCCACAAAATAAAAGTTAAGCTTGAATTCGAAAAATGCACCTTTCGGCTGTTGGCTATTATATCGTGATTAACCTATTATTTTTTGTGCAACTCAACTCAACTCACACAATTCCATTAGGTTTTAAATGAGTTGGTCATAAAATAATAGTATTAATAGTATTATAATCCGGTAGCCGATAGTTACATTGGCGAATATAAGCTTGACTATACAGGGTGGTAAAAAAATGGAAACCCTTGCACCATATGCATTTTCCTCATATATTTGTCATTTTAAGAAATAACTTACTCCTGGTATTTTGCACATTTGTACATCATTCAATTTCCTACCAACCTACTTTATTTCATGTCCATCAGATTGATAGTCACAATGTTACAGCACTTTACAGAATATGCACTAGTGGCCACTATTGAGCTGCCGGGCCACCTGCACTCGCCGTCCAAAATGTCCCTACCTGTAGGGATATGGCAAGGAAAAAGTGTATGAGAATGACCTCAGGACAATCAAAAACCTCAAAAGTGAGATCATCCGTATCATTCAGGCCATACCTGCTGAGAAATGCATTGGCAAGTGTGCAGGTTTGCCTACAGCGCGATGATGACCAAACTTGAAGCATGTTATTCAAAATGCTGTAAAATTGTGACTATCAGTCTGACGGTCATGAAATTTAGTAGGGTGGTAGGAAATTGAATGATGCACAAATGTGTGAAATATCAGGGAGTAATTATTTAGAATGACAAAGATATTAGGAAAATGCAGGGTTTCCAGTTTTTTTGACCACCCTGTATATACTAATCTAGTAGTCTTTCTCCTGAGATGAATGCAATGAGTTCTTAGTCCTTGGTAGTACTGTCCTTATTATATGAACACTAGAATTGTCAAAAGAATGACGCTATTTGCCACAGGTATTGGATGATTAAAAATGTACTACATACTATTGAAGGCATGTTCTATTTTCACGTGTCAAATCACTTTTGAAATTGAAATAGAATTCAAAAGCAGGCATGCAGGTGTTTTTGTAATCTGACCTATTTCCTAAATCAATTTCACCGAACCTAAACTTAACCAGTGATGAGTGACTTTTCATAAAGGAAAGGACTCGTTTTTCTCAGCAAACAGTAAGATTTACCTGGCAAATTCAAAGTATATTCCAACTTAAATCCTTTACGACGAGTTTGACCACTAGCATAGTCACTTCTGAATAGTACAACGGCCTCATTGTCCTCAGATATCATAGGTTTTGGATTTTTGTCTAGTTCACAACAGAACCTTAAATAACAGTATTATCATGTCATTTGATGCACATAAATACCGGATATTGCTGTTGTCGTTACCTCTTTCTCATCAAAATAAAACTAAGATTACAATAAAAAATGTATTGTCTATGCTTCCATTCACTTATACCAATGGATTGTTGTATGGTTAGGATAAATTATAGTATCTCTTATTTGTTATGGTCCATTCGTTACCTTGGGCCTGCGAGACCCAGCTCTTTATTGTATTTTATCTCGACCCAATGATAACAAACATCACGTAAGCAATAGACGTTGAAGTCGTCCACGAATCGCAAAACAATTTTGCAGCCTTTTGGTGCCTGTAAGTAAAAGTAAGAATATACCCGTAAGTAGCTTGGTCGTTAATTAAATATTCAATGGTAAAACATTAAAATTAATAAACTGAAGTACACCATGCGTCATTTTAGTACAGCCCTGGCTGCATACAGGGTGGGAAAAACGTCAATATTTTTTATTTGGCAATTTCTTTTCATTAGCAAGAACCGCTATCCATCTACATATATCGATATACATATGAGCTGATATCAATGACATTTAATGTGTGGTGTTTTGATGACATCGCAGCTAGAAATCATGACCATGCGCGCGGTATACATTGATGAAATGGCTTGCTTATTCTTAAAAACACCTTAATGATTGGATTTTCAATATGAACTCGAATTACAGCACATTTCGATTCAAATTCAGCATCTTCTATCCTGTACTCAGGATGAACAGACCAAGTTCAGAAGCTTCAAAATTGTTTGAAATAAAGAGGTGTTTTGAGAAGTAATAACTAGGTTTTTATGTCTGTAAGTGCATTATACATTTATACCATCTGGATCAAATAGGAACCATAAATACCTATAAATGAAATTGATCTCCGCGTTAAAATTGCATATCTCAATAAAAGTTTTGCGCTGGGACTTGAAAATCTGTTCAGATCTACGCCAACACGCATGCACAACTTTTCAACAGTGTCAAAATTTGGATTTGGATTGTAATGAAATAGACTGTACACGCTTTTTTCTTATTTACTTGATTTACGTGATTAAAATGTAATATTTCCACTAAGCCAGATTATATTAGAATGATGACTATATATTTTGAAGGCATTCTATTATGAGGCATTTTAAAAGTTTATTTCATCCAATGAGAATCATTACAATGTTATTTTTCTTCGATTTCTCCCAAACATTTTCAAAATCGATTTCATTCGCCACAATCTTGGCTCAGAAGCATTTTACAATTTCAACACATCCAATGGGAATCATTAATGTTATTTTTCTTCAATTATTTTCACAAATATCTTCAAAGTCGATTTCATATATGTGTTATCCATGTAATGAAATACTTTGCATAACTATATATGCATATACGATATAACACATAGCTGTATCCTCCAACACAGAGATTTAATTAACACTGTAGAAGCATCACATTTTTGAAACTGCACCAAAATGCTTCGATTACCTTTTAAATGACAGACAACAAAAATGTCATACAAAATATTGTTATTTCGATGTTTAAGTCGGACCCGCAAATATTTGGTATCCTCCAAATATTCAAATATCATCTATGCACATATCTGATTTTGTATTGTTGAAATCCAATGTAGTATTCAAATGATTGTCATATGAATTCTGAATTACATCTAATGTGTTTGTAAATTGCATCATGCGTTAATTATGTGTCGGAGGATACACATATTTGACAAATCGTAAAACCATTATAAAACGTATCCTACTTTATTTATACGAGATATTAACAACCCCCCTTTCGAATGTTCACATACATATCTTATTACATGTTACCGAATATCGACGCAGTTGATGTATTATGTTATGTAGTCCGAATTTATAGGTTAAAAATAAGCATTGTTTTCAAAATATATCTCATTATCATGTTTAGCAGTTGTGTTAGCAACAAAATGTCGTTAATGTAAACAAACATGTTGCAGTCTTGAGTACATTAACAACATTTGATGTCAATTATCGTAAAAAGACCCAGATACACTCACAATGATTCTCCAATTACAGTGCTGAAAATCTTGATAATGGATTGGATAGTTTGGTGAGGTTATTGTCTGGACATCTGCGGTAGCATGTAAGAAGCCACTGCATTCCGCTGCCGTAAACAATAAAGATGCATGTTAGTTCAAGATAAGCTTACAAATTATCAAAAGAATAGAAAATGTTTGATTTACTTATTGTTATCATATCTTATTTATATTCCATCGTTTTACCTGGTATTCCGCTCTCGACACCATTACAATACCTCCCTCCAAAACCATCAGGACACACACACTGTTGACAGTTATTCGGATCAACATAACCGCCCCATTTACAACTCTTACCAACAGGCAATGGTCTGCAAACCACTACAATGTGAATTTTGATATTCGTTTGATATCCAAATTATTGAATATGACATCATTCCGTAACTGAAGACAACATGGATCTACTCAAATCTTGAAGATGTAAATCGCCTTGCATATTGTAAATGACCAATGACTCATTTCTAAACTATATTATGGACTGTTTAAACATCGAGTTTCAGTTTAACAAGATTAGATATCTTGAGAACGATCTGTCAAACATTTAAAAATGAAGAGTTTTACTAGGGCCGATCAAATAGTTTCTTACCGTTGGCTCTCGATTTTATAATAAGAGGAGATGGATTCTCAAACCTAAACATGAGAAAGGATAATACGTTTGCTTGAAACTGTACGAGTTTCATATAAATTGGTTTATTGGTAGTGACACAGAGTCAATGCATATTTTCAATGACTAGGTCAGGTGGAGCAGCGTTATATATAAAATATCAGCTGAGTTGTGGTTCTGGAAATTTACTGACATCGTTTACAACCTCTCATACGAAGGCCTTGAACTTGTGTTTTGGATTGGGTAGACATATATATAGGAAGTGCATTGCAACTGCATTGCATTGCAACTGCATGCATATTTTGAAGGAAAATGAATATTAGCATAACAACTACTTTAACATGATTACTACTACAGTCCATTGACAGATGACACTACTTAGTGTTAGAAATTTCCAAAACAGCTTTTAGTACAATTCTTATATGAAAAACGCTGCTCCACCTAACTTAATCATTGAAAATGTGTTTTGTCTCTGTGTCACTACCAATGAACCAATCTAAATGAAATTCAGACAGTTTCAAGCAAACTTATTACCCTGTCTCATGTTAAAGTTTGAACACGTTCAAAGTTATGACCTCTGCCACACGGGCTAACTTAATTCAGATTTGAGCTGTACTGTAATTAGAACAAAATAGAACTTTTGTTTAATCTTACATCCGCAATATGCAGTATTTGCAGTTTTAATATCAGCGAATGACAGCCCCGTCCTCTGTCCCATAGAGCTCTGGTAAAGGTCGTCTAATGCTTTTATTGTAATGCCCTCATTTTTACTAAACGCCTAGGAAATGTTAATTGAAAGATTAATGGTATTATTTGTATTATGTATTGCGTCAAATCATTGATGTCATCATACATCCATACGCGACTCGCTTTTAATGTATTGTTTTTGCTTCGTAGTGGGCATCGAGGGTAGTTTTGCAGTGATACCATTTTTGGGACATTTCCATTTTCTACGTCGGGCTACTTTGATTCAAACATCAATGATTCCATCATCAATGAAAAATACTACAATAAATATAGATTCAAAGTCATCATACTATTCCGCTAGAGGTGTGTCATCGACTCTATTGTGAAATATTAGATTTCATTAAATCTATATTCACACATTACATAGATAGGCAAGGTGTGTCTGATTCAAGCCAATCCGAACAGAGTATTCACATAATGAACAGTGTGTGAAAAGAATTTAAGTCCAAGACTCAATGCACTGTAGCTGCTTCATTCCACTCAGATGTTGTTTCCTAAACTTTGCATTATTTCCCCTGCGGGGTCATGCAAAGATATGGAAACAACATCTTCGTGGAATGGTTCAGCACATAATGCATGGAGTCCGAAGCTTAAATCTTTAAGCATCTATAGCACTAACGTACTAAAATTGACTCTGTATCAATTAATTTGTGCTATACATTTATGAATTGCATATCTAAGAATACTAGAATATAGAATTTCACTAATTAATTGCACCTGTCCAAGCATCTATTCCTTCTACGAATCTAAACAGGGGACAATTTATCATATTAATATCTGACTTTTGTAATGATTTAATTGTATTCTATTGTATTCGACATTACGCAATAAATAGTATTGAAAAGGGAGACATGTGAGACAAAATGTCAAATGCTGTAATGCCCTTAATTGTAATTTCTAATCACATGAATGTTCATAGAAGGTGGTACAATTATTTGTAAGCAAATCTAGAACAAAGACAATTATATGAATTTTTGAATTCAAATATAGCAAAACTTCTTTCAGGCCCATGAACAAACGAATGACTCATGCGATATATTCTACCGACGAGGACAATGTCAATCGACAACAAGTTATAATTCATGCAAATCATGCGAAGTGTATTTCAAAAGTGAATGTGGTACCTTGCCATGATAATGCATCACAGACGAATAATCATACTCGACACCATATGCCTCACTTTGAATATCCGGCACCTTTAGGAAATTATTTTCTTTCATAGCCTCTATGTTGCCAGTGTTTATCCTCACCTAAACACAATGAATGACAATGCAAAGGCAATACAGTCCAACAAAAATGCGTTCAAATTACAACATATTACAGCATATGCACATATGGCCAATACTCATTAGCAACATTTAATTTGTATGAGTGTGCCTGCCCTGCAAACTCTCCAAAAACAGCATACTTCTGTCTTCCAAGCCAGGCAGCGTCAAATATATGGTACAAGCAAGCAAATACAAGGACACACAGCATCATCAATCACTTATGACATGCATGTCTTGGCATATGCTTCTGCATGTCTGCCCAATATGATACCTTCTGATGGTAGTGCATCACTGATCCATAATCGTAAGGAACAACTAATGGTGCTACAAACTTTGACGGGGTCTTCTCAAAGTTAGAAACAAATTTCTGCTCTACATTTCCTAATCTTATCTCTACCTGTAATGGTAAACGATTATTTTGCAACGTTGGTATCCAGCTTTGAAAAGTAACTTATTCTAAAAGGATAATGTGTTGTTAAAAGGAAAAGATGAGTACAATCAAATTGTCATTAATGTTTTATAATGCTTTTTTACATAATTAGTACTATGCCTTGATCATTATGATAATTAACTAATACATAACTGTTTGCTCATTTGATATTTGACATATAATGTTTTATAATGCTTTTTTACATAATTAGTACTATGCCTTGATCATTATGATAATTAACTAATACATAACTGTTTGCTCATTTGATATTTGACATTAAACATACTTTATGTATTTGCAATGAATATGCATCATTTACATGTAGGTCCACATTATTTCAATTTTATAGTTTTATAAGTATAGTACTACGACCAAGGCCATTTGTGTCCAAAACACCTAGATTCAATTTGACTTTAGATTCGTGTAGGGGACCCCATCTAGTATTGGTTAAGTTATGCGTTAAACTGTGAGCTGTGCTTCTCTATTTTTTATTTGTTTAAACAGTGTTATGGTTTATGTTGGTGTCATCAAATTATGTAATAGATATGTTATTCACGATTTGCATTTACTTACAAAATGATCTCGATCAGGTCGCGCTTGTTCATGCCAAAATCCCAAAGCGTGTCCTATCTCATGCTCCAATGTACCTGGCTTAAAACATAGGATAAAGATATTCAATCTATTTTCAGTTAATTTCTAAATCGTATTACGTTCATGATTAGAATTCTTACTTTCTCTATTAATATAGCCTAAACAGCTTGTTAACCTTTCCATAATGTTTTCCATATAGACCCATTACCATTCTTATCACCTGGTTTCATGCTTCAAATCACCATTACGTGATAATATCACATTACCATCAATATTTAAAGACATAAACAAGTAGTCGTCAGAAAATAAAAACAACAGCCCATTCGTTTCTCTCCAAAAATTAATTTAGACAATAAACTAAGATAACTAATAAATATAAACAAATAATAAGAAAATTGAATGAACGACCACTTTAACATTATTCATAAAATCATTATTTCTTAAATCGTTATTTAAAAAATTGGAGGTGCGCATACATTCATACTTATACTCATATTCAAAATTATCCTCGAATAGAACTATTGTATCGCGTGCACTGCGTATTGCATGATATGTATATTATTTGAAAGTTAATTTGTTCTCATAATATGTACCAATATAAACTGATTGGATATGATTATTCCAAACCTGCTGATATGATGTAAACTATTTATATATATACAGGGTATGCCAAAAAAGTACCATTCATAACATTATGGTATTGACATAAAAAGATTTAAAGAAACTTGAGGAGAGGTATATTTTACCATTCAAATACTTAAGCTAATACTGACTTCAATTTTTTTCATTAGATCTTTGAATATCAATGGTAAATGGTTCATGTGTCCTAAGATTTACTTACTACAACATGCGATCAACAATAGCACATTCATTATATTCACTTTCGAGTGCAAGCGCTAATTTAGCTGCCATTTTAATTTAAGACATTTATGATATTTTTTATAATTTGTCAGGATCGACTAAAATCTAGATTTTGCCTACTAAGTTTTGACCATGGAATTCATGTATATTGCTTTGATTTGTATTTATAAAACTGATGTAAACCAAACCTTATCATTCAAAATTAAACTTTTTAAAAATCTTTACTTGATTTGTCGTGTTGATTGTTTGAAATTGTTGATTGGAGGCTAAGATGGAATAACAGAGAAACAGCCTTGTAATTAACATTCTGTAATATCCTCTTAACTTTCTTCATTCATTTCACCACTCTGTTCAAATCTTTGTCCACTTTGTGTTTTCAACATTCATATCTATTTAAAGAGGACAGCACCTTACAGATAGTCAAGAAATCATTTTTACTCTAATAAACTCAAATTCGATCCAATTGCCATGAACGTTCAACTTACCATGCTACCTTTTGTTTGTTGGTTCGGACTTGTTTGTTGGTTGTACGGGTTGCTTTGTTGTAGTTAATAAGTTAATAATGTAGTTGATCGTATTAATTGATTGATTGGGTAGCCTGTACGTGGCAGTTTCAGAATTGAAGCTCCGAACTTTTACAGTTTACAGTACACATCGATAGGAAGCAAAATCACATTACTCTAAATGTGTTTTGTTTTACTTTGGTACGTTTGAAAAACTAAAAAGCATAAAATAAAAGCGGAAGCCTAATATAAATTACATAAATCAACATTAAACGTCCATTCCTAATAGGGACAATAACTTCGCTTAGTTATAGGAAATAAATATAACTTTTTGAAAGATATTAGAATATATAAAGCAAGATATTATCTCCTGACCTGTTCAATGCAACTTTCTGCAAAATTGACAGGTTGCGGAATTGTAATCCGTTGTCGTCCTATGTATGAGAAGCACTGCCTGTGTAAGTAAACACAACTCTAGAATTAGAGACCGGGGCTTATTGTCGGAAGAACAACATCATGTTAGCAGCCCCCCCATCTTAAATATAAACCATGTCTTAACAATGGCACACATTGTTTTCGTTTTTGTCAAGTTACGCATATCATACACCATCAGACAACACAACATAGAGTCAATTTAGACAACAGTATACACATTGTACATACTATATGGTTTGTATTCGAGAGCCAATGTGTTATTTTAAAATCATTCTGCTATGGCACGGTGTCCAACCCAAACGCTCTTAAACGCTCCGTCGTGCATGTAAGAGCGTTTGGGTTGGACACCGTGTATGTGCTATTCTAATGTCGATGTATACTCCTGCTGATCAATTCAAAATATATGTAAACAACATACTTTTAAATACATGATGCGAAACATCATGGCTCTCACACACAGTTTTGTTATATTGGTCTAGAAAACATGAACTACGAAAGAGCCACGGACAAATGATCAACTCATCACCAATGGGTGGAGGGGGGGGGGGGTATATCCATATGGTTACACCTTGAATATATTTTGTGCCAATATAACATAACGTACGACGATGTAGACTACAATATCAAGAAGCCTAAGATTATTGCATACGATGATAACATCATACCGCTGCTATGCACCTATCTTCAAAATTAATTGGTTGTGGAACGAATCGTCTTTGACGCCCAATGTATGAAAAACAACCCCTGAAAATCACAATACATCTAAACGTTCTGGCAACGAATTCAGGATTCATTGACATGAGTATTAGACAGAGTTGGCCAATGTGTATATCTTCCATCCACACTGACTAATACAGAAAGAATACAATATGATCTATGGCAACTTACGGATCTAGATTAGTAAACGATATAAATGGTGACTTGGGATCATCATCTCCAACGGATAACTCTTTAAATCGTACACATGTTGTATTTTCCCATTTATAGATGGCCTTACGAATAGCTGCCTTCCACCTCTCACCTAGATAAATGTAACATGAACATTCATTGGGACTATCAAGGCTCCGCTGACATCGTGAGCAATGAGCTCATGTTAGAAGCGGGGCCTTGAGAGATATGATAAAATTGAAATATTAAATTTACTATTGAACTTTACTATGTGAAACTCAGTACAACTTTATTTCATAGTACACCGACTATTTCATTTGTAGGGCAGCGACGTTTTTCAACTATAACTATTTTTTATCATAGCTCTCAAGCCCCTCTTCTAACATGAGCTAATTGCTCGAGATGTCAGCGGGAACTTGCTCGCGATATACGGGGTCTGGATAGTCACAGTGACATTGAACTATACTTTAGTCAGTTGAACACTGTCTACCAAAAAGAACGACAGCAAAATTCTTGATTTAAGAATTTTTCACCAAATCTCAAAGGACTGCGAATTGTTTGTAGAATGAATCTATGAGATTTTTCATGCATTTCGCTTGTGTTTTTCATCTAAAAACATCAATACACTTTAAAACATTACAAGAATAGAACTTCGCCACCGAATAACGCATTTAATGAGAAAAGAACGCAGTTCAAAACTTCAAACGTCTTAAAATAACGTTTGAAAACACACTTGACTTTAACTTGTATGATGCATTATTGCAAGGTGCGAAGTTAGTGATCACAACAAACGGCGTGCAAAATAGACTAAATGCGAGTAGAAAATATCTTGATTTATGTCATTAAATATTCAAATGTAGTCAAAGTGATATCATATTTGAAAACTACATATACACATCATGTGTATATGTAGTTTTCATGTCATGATACATGTTAAATTACATCTAGAAATGTGGTTCTAAGAAGTGTTTATCAACTTTGAAAACTTAAAATGTTCTTTGAAAATGTGACTTCGAGGTTGGGGAGATTCCCCTATATACCATGTTATAAAATTGCAAAAGTGAAATATATATATATTTTATATTGGACAGATAATATTTTCTTTTACTGAAAAGTGAACCACTAAAACTGAATAATATTCAATTTTAATTGAACTTTCTATATAATACCATGCTAATACTACCCCAAATTATCCACCTGGTGGTGGTTTTGTGCAGATTATTCAAACATTTTAATGGTTATTGATAACCACAGTGTCGAACTAGAAAAAGCATGTCCATAGTTTGAGACCTGCAAACCGTTCCCTTAGAAATATGAAATGATTGATATCAAGGTTGTGTACGATTGGCATCAATGATAATTAATACATTATATTATTTATATTAATATACATCACAATGATTACCTGTTTTCCTGCCTGCTGTACTTACCGCCGTTTTCTGGCATATAGTTGAACTTATATTTTATTGGAAACGTCCATTTACTCTGTTTGAATATCTTAAAAGGTATAACTTTTCTTTTTGGTCTGTTTCGATGTTTGCTTGATTTGAGTGTTTCTTCTATCATTGTAGCTTGCTCTAGGCTCAGGAGAATATCTCCGTCATACATCATATTGTCCTTATCCAATGCATCCTAGACAAAGCCATATTTTTACAAAAAGACCTGTACTGTGTAGCAAATGCCATATTGGATTAGAAGATTGAGGTCGCACAATACACAAAACTACACATCGTCCAAATCAGTCTAAGCTATCGTCATAAAAAATACAATCAGATAACAAAGGAAGGATTAAAACGGCGAAGAATCTCAAGATTTCACACCTGAGATGCCAATCTATTTCTGAAAATTATCAATTATCCTAAAAGCTAGGCATTTTGTATGACAAGAAGAGTACAATACAAAGTACAGTTTTCTTTCCTACGCCATCTTTTAAATATTGAAATTCTCATTTTATTTTATGTACCATCATAACGATCACAAAGGTTTTTTCATTATGAAGTTATTAAAATAATGCAATTGATGCTAATGAGGCATATGAGATTATCCAATATTGGATATAGACTTTTTATATGCACTTTTAAAACCATATTCCCTCTGAATTTTCATCATAATGAGAGTTTTTCATGTGATTTTAAGAGATTTGCACTTTTTACCTCGAACGACTAACTTTTCTTTCTTTTTAATAGCATATTTGAATTCAATTTTCCACAATAATAATTTCCCATAAATTAAAAAAAACTTTGGCAAATCTCTGGCATTGATGGAATGATTACATCAATTCACTTCAATGTTAAAAGCTTGCAATAGTCACTTACAGGGTGTCCGGAAAGTAAAGATACAAATACTCTAATTTTAAGAGATTTAGTGTTTTGGTAATGAAAACGCTACAGATTGTAGAGGAACTACATTACAATACATCTACCAACTTTTATAACATATAGTCTAAATCTGTTAAAGTTACGGTTGTCATGGTTATGATGGTGAGGGGTATGCGGAGCAGTTCCAGGATATCGCTAAATTGTGATAAATTGCTCAAATATAACCATTTGAAAGAGTGTTTATTATTGTATTTCTTATCAGTTTTTTGTTTTGTTCAATACTGTATTTTTACTGCCATAGTATTCTCTTTAGTATAACGATATCATTGATACATATCAGAACTATGTAATGTCACAAGTATAATCAAAGAAAAAGAGCATATAAGTGCTTAGAAAAAGGGTCCCTGGATTAATAGGAAAGTCAATAGTGCATCTCCACAGTCAATGCACAAAGCAAAGAAAACAAATCTTACAATTGAATGTCTTGACATTAACCTTTTTGTACAATGGTCCACATTTCCCTGATAATGTCCCGTTGAACTTCTACATTAATGAATATGTTCCTCAAATATGCAATATTTGTGAGAAGTTCAACATAAAAATGAGACTCGGCTGGAAGCCAATGTTATCAGCAATCTTAGAGACTGACAGCAAAGGTTTTGTCAGGTCTTTGAATCTCCGGTCAAAATACAAAAAGAATGTTTAGATAAAGGTGGAAAATATATATACTGGATAACAGTAGTAATGTCAAATGATTAAATAATATTACAGTTCTAATCATTTTGCTGTTGTGGTACACAATTTGATGCATAATACCAACAGACGGCAGAGTGTCAAGATGATATGAACAGGAGAAAAGAATTATAAAACATAATTGTGACGTTGCTCCACATACCCGCGACTCCTGTTACCATAGCAACCATAACTTTTTTATTTTTAAATAATTTGTCATGACAGTTGCAGGATAAATTGTTACAATGTCATTCTACAATCTGTAGCAATTAGATCTCACAACATGTAAACCCTATGAAATTAGAGCATTTGTATCTTTACTTTCCGGACACCCTGTAATTCCATGATTTCTCAAAAAGTAATGGTTTAATCTGTCTAAACTCGAATGAGATACTTTGGGATGACCCTGTCAATGTACCTGTTGTGGTTAATCATGAAATTTTTGATTGACAAACCCAAAAATCAAGGTTTTAAGAATCTTAGCATTCCATCAATAAGAGCAAATCAATGTACTCACGGGAGAAATTGGGGTTAAGCCATACTTTGCATTGGCTAATATTTCTATTTCTTTCAGTTTCTTCTTCAAAGCTTTTCTTTCTTGTGGAGACATACCTGTAGATAAAGATTCGATAATATTAAACACGTATTTTAGTATATATATTTTCCAGTAGTTTCTTATTTCATTAATTACAGTTTTAAATGGAATGAATTGAAATGACAACAAACATGTTACGTTATTGAAAACTGCATATTTCAAACATAACGTCGCGTGAGAACCAGTGTTTCCAAACTGCAAATTTGAAGATTTTGAGATTTCATCACTTTTACATAAAAAAGCATGCTGAATCGAATGGTGATGTCCATATTGCTCTGGACTGGAAATAGGTGCATTTCAGTGGAAGTACCTCGTATCTGCAAAGAAGATAAATTACAAAACGTCAACCTGGTATCTCAAGTGAGATCCCCAACTAAAGGCAAACAAGATCTGAAACACGAGAAATGGAAACATGTGGCATTGAGGCATTCCCCAAGAATAGGAAACTGTTCAATACCCACCTCTGCACAATATGCCTAAGAAACTATATAAAGACTTTATACATTACTTTAAAAAAGAACCCTAAGGAAATGTTGATGAAAAAGAGAGCTGGGGACTCAACAAGATAAAGATAAAAATACATTTAAAGCCAGAGGATAAGTGGCAGGTTGGAGAAAATCTAAAAATAGAATCCCAACAACTCTCTTTGTTTCAAATCATGTCAGTCTTCAAGACAGTAGTCTGTCTCACCGGCAGAATAGAAAGGATGTTTCATCTAGTAGTTTGTGATGAGAGATTATCAAGCAAAGAATCTGCAAATAATGAGCCAACAAAAGCCACCAAGGGCAATCAAACTGTTAAGTAATGTCAATTTTAAAAGTCACAATCTGATTCTGATAAGTAATAACTTAAGCATGTATGTCGTGGATACACTGATGTTAATGTCAATGGTGATGAAACCTCCATGCCAGTGGTCCTAACACTCGTAGACACCAGTATAGATGCCAATGGTTATAAAAGCACCGATAAAAATGCCAAGGGTGATGAAAGCACCAATGGAGATGCCAACTTTGAAAGCACCAATGTAGATAGCTTGTGTACCAATTACACAATATTTCCCGAACTCGATCCCCGGCAAATCAGGCAAGACTTAATTGCTTGTTTGCATATACAAGTATTACTTCAAGGGTTGTCCAAAATGAGTACAAACGGCTGTGGAGTGTACTTGTATGCCTATGTATGAGTGAACATAAAATAACACAGGGCCCCCTCAAGGAGGGGCTCCTTGGTCTGCCTTCCATGATTATATGCATTGATTACGACCATATAATGGATCCCGGGGGATATACCCAAGACGTATTCCTCACCTTCATTGGTGGTAAACAAAATACAATACAATATGATATTGAAGATTAAAAGAGCAATAGCCAGGATATTTCTAATTCCAACCTTACAAAACATATGGACAGCCGAACTGACAAAGAAATCATATCTAATAAGGCTTATGATGCTCTAAATGACCATACCTATGGAGCCAATGAATCACTGTCTCCTGTTGTACCGCCATAAAAACACTGGAAATTAAGTACACTGTAAGCTATGTAAATGGCATTGAGAAACAGCTCATTGATACCACTCTAAATGACTATACCTACTTAACCAGTCAAACACTGTCTACAACTTTACCGCATGGTGAAATGCTGGATACTCACAATACGAAAGAGGTCATTGATGCTACTCAGTCTTACACCTACTGAAACCATTAAACCTGATATTGAGAATCAGCCCTTTGGTGAGACTCACTGTCTGACACCTACTGGAACTCTTGAAACTGAAGTTGGGAAACATCCATTTGGTTGGACTCACTGTTTAACACCTATTGAAATTATTGAAACAGTCTTAAAACAACTCAAGTCATTGGAACCAAAGTTGTAAGAGCTAATTGATTCTACTCACACTAGTCAAACTACTTAAACCATGTAAGATAAAGTTAAGTTTCAACAAGAAAAATATCAACGCACAATACCAACTTTAACATCTAATGATGAAATAATTAATACAGGAGAAAGCATTAAGAGTGAGACTTCCAAAACAGTGGTATGTGGTTCAATTGGTGACAGAAACACTGCACAAGTTACAAGTGAGCCTGGTAGAATCAATATGCAACGAGTAGAACACGACGGCACATCTTTAGGTATTCTCTCTCCAGGACTAGATTTTGAAAATTCATACTGTATATCATATCTCTTTTTTTAATCCATTTACCATTGCAACATCATTGTTTGAAATCATGCACATAAACTTCACAATAATATAAGATGGTATAAAAATCAGTTTTGTATCATAAATGGTTCAGAAGATACAGATGTTTGAACTCTAAACGCCGGTCATTTTCTCAAAACCACAAAGTGTTAGTAAGGAAACACTGGTTCTCCCGCGACGATGGGCAAGCTATCAAGCCAACCAGAATTCAGTATTTCCATTTAATTGCATTATGCTACTCTAATGCACTCGCCTTTTTAGATTCTAGAGAGTTTTAGACTCTATTTTAGATTTCATCAATTGCACAATTTGAAGTTGACTGTCAAGTTTGCTGACCTATTCACTCCCCTCCACGTTTTGTCAGCTTACTTAAATCTTTGAATATATGGAGTCTTAAAACTCACCTGATCAAATTTCAGCGAAATTGGTCAACGTTTAGATCAACCCCTACCGAAGTTCCCGATGTGTATTCGCTGCCATGTTAATGCTACTCTGAAAATTGCAGAAAGTGTCAATTTCATCATGTTTGAGACTAGACACATGTTCTACCAAAGGCGCTAACGTGAGTCCCATCAAATTGACCTAAAATGTAGTTCAATATGTTTTTGATCTATGACAAAGATACCGAGATGGTTATTTGGCGATCAATGAGAAAATAATTGTTTTACATGGTGATTAATAAAACTTTAGGTTTAGCTGGATCCAAACGTTGTTATAATCATTTCATGAAATTTATGACCCTCCAAAATGCAAATGTAGGAGATCAGGTTTTACCTCATGAAAGCCAAGGATCCTTTATGTCCATAGAGTTATGGTCACCTATAAATGGCAAAATTCCATTGTACATGAGACAATTTACAATTTCTGCCATTTTGAGGGGAGCATAATTCGATGATAAAGATATACGTATAGAGGTCTGATCTTTATCTAGTAGTGACCTGGCATTATATCTAGCACGTGCTTCTCTTCGGTTAAAAATTATTTGTAGAAATTCTAGGGTACCTAAATCAAGACTTGGTGGCAATAAACCAATTCCTTCCTATACAATGAATCACCGTTGAAACAATTATTTTTTTTCAAAAATAAAGAACCTACCATTTCAGCGTTTTATGTAACACATCTAAGATAAATTCAACTGCATTATAGGTGAATTTAATGAAAATCACTGAAGTGCCTTGGTCAAAACATGGGTCTCAAACATGATGAAATTCACACCCCCTGCAATTTTCTCATTTATCTCATAACATGGCAGAGAATGCACGTCAGAAATGGCGGTATGAGTTGAGCAAAGCGTTGACATTTTTTCTGAAATTTGGTCAGCTAGTTCTTAAGACTATAGATTTAATTATTCTATTATATAAGCAAGCTGACAAAATGTCTGTTTTTGAGGTACCCTAAACAAGTCTGTTTTTGGGACACGTTATTATGGCTTCAAATATTATCAAGACCACTATATATTTCTGTTGGGACACCCTAGACTAGAGGTCTAAACAAAAATACATAATGGTCCGGATACTTGATTGGGTTTTGGTGAATTAAATGTATTCGATCGAGAAAGCATGCATATCTCAGACACTGCTATATCTGTGCATGTGTCTCTAATCTTGAGAGGTTGACTTGTAAACTATCAGTGCAATACAAACCAATATAATAGAACAAGATAGAAGTATCTCCTGTATATCAAACATGTGTCAAGAATGATAAATTACCTTTGTCTTTCATCCATTGTCTGAAATCTTTTTTATATCTCTTTAAGCTATCTTCAATTTCTTTACTGTCCACCGAGTCCTGAAATATATATAGTTATTCCATAATAACATGTTTTCCCTGGGAAAATAACAGGGAATAAAAGTGTTATTTGAAAAATCCCGTATCAGATCCCGTATCAGCCAAAATCCCGTATCAGATCCCGTATTGGATCCCGTATCAGCAAAAATCCCGTATCAGATCCCGTATCAGAAATATTCCCGGTAATTTCTCTGATGATGACATACAAAAATTGAAAAAAAATATTATGAAATAAATAGGTTATTGATGGTCGTGATGGAATATGGATTTATTCCTTGAGAAAATATGATATTGGCCTCAGAAAATATCATATTGACACTCGGGCTATCGCCCTCGGTCAATATGATATTTTCCTTGGCCAATATCATATTTTCCCTCGGAATAAAATCCATATTCCATCCCTCCCATTAAATAACCTCTATATATGTATACATATAATGACGATCATGCTTGTTTTTGTTATTTACATCTTTTGATATTATATTAACGCCTACTCCGACCCATAGTTTTCTGAAATGCATTTTTATATTTCATAACATTAATAGCATTTTTATTTTAGATCAAAGGGAGGCGGGGTGCTTAAAATGATCTAAAAATATGAACAGAACAAGAATCTGGTTTTTAACAGGTTTATATACAAATGTGTTCGTCCGTTTTTTAAATAAGTTACTGCAAAGCGTTTACTTATTATGCGGTATAATACAGAAAAGGCTAGCTATGTATATGTGATTAATGTTGAACTCCTGCGAAGTGACCCAAGTGATGTCATTAGCATATTACTACAAGCATATTAATGTCAAACCATTATTTGCTCTTGCACTACCTGATAAACGTTTTATTCTTTAAATAAAGCTAATTCACAACTAAGAAGCAAATTTTTAACAAGGTCACGGGGGAGAATTTTCCTGATGAATTGAACATCTACAGGGAGAAAGTGGGGAAGTATGACTGTATTAAACACTTTACTTTGAAATTTGACCTGTCTTTGAACTTTAAATAAATTTGATTGACATTGTCAAATTTTCTCCGAATTCATTTTTTAAGTGTGTTAACAATGCAACATAGTTTGTACCATTTAGAAGAAAATTGAATTATGTATATAATAATAATATAACTAAAATCAAAAAATGCATTGATGGATATACTGAACGTCGACTATTTACCTTTTCAAGATTCAAGAAATCAATCTGTATTCATATTGCTCATACTTATTTGCATACCGCATGTCTTGTTAGTCTATGAGGTTACATTAAATTCATTGAAATAAAGTACAAAGTAATTGCTGACGTTCTTCAGCTGATATGGCATAACTCAAGCACATTGACGCTTCCTATTAGTCCAAAGCTTTAATATAGATTGTGTTCTTAATTATATCGAAGTAAAACCACAGTAACATGAAGGAGACAGATAATGATTGAATATGCGTCAACTAATAAACAATCAGAATATATTCAATTTTTATTACGTATACTTGTATGTAGTTATCCATACTATACTAGTCCATTATTTCTTCCAAACGCTACTTATATGATTGTCTATTCTTTATTTTTCATATGTGATTTGATGTTGGACTGGTGTAATCATGACAGATATGGAGGTTCAGCTACACGCATGTTTTCAAGATAATTTGTACGTGAACGTTTCGTAACATGGTCCTCCAAGGATTCGTTTTCCCTTCCTTGTATATATTTTGGGATGAATATATTAAGAAATTAATCGTACTGTTCCTTAATAATTGGTGGGACCAGTATCCCAGGGGTCATAATAGTTTACGTACTAGTGAAATTATTAAACTACAAGGTGTGCCAAAAATTTGCAACTTTTTTAGAAGGCTAGAAAAGTATCATAACATTATGATATTGACATAAATCTTTTTTTACAGAAACTTAAAGATGCATTATACCATAGGTTTCTCCCTCAGACAATCTGATGTCCTATTGTTATTGCTCATATAACATCTTACATACCATTGATATATCTTGAGAATAACTTTTGGGTATATTATTGTCTCTTTAAGGATAGGCATATTTTACCATTCAAATAATTAAGCTAATACTGACTTTTTGTCAGATGTTTGAATATTAATGCTAAATTGTTCATGTGTCCGAGATTTACCATTTTCCTAGAAAATGTGACTTTCTATGATTTTATGCGCAATAAATGTATTTAAAGCACATTAGTAACAACCATTTGATTTACAGCATAAGCACTTTTCAACTCAAATATAAATATTTGTACTTATTTCGAACTTAAATGTATCATTGTTGTATTACCAATGGCATTGAGCGAGAATCGTGGTTTTGTAATTCTTCTTGATTTATTTTCCAGGAACAGAAGACTGACGCCATCGAATAAAAGACGTGAGAATGCATAATTTGAGCGTAAGATATATACGTACTTAGTAGAATCTTATAAGTAGAATCTAAAAAGCGAGAGCCTAGAGAGAATCGCCCAATGTGACTTGATATGACTACAATTTAAAACTTGCTAACGTATGACTTAATTATTGTATTAAAATATATAATTTACACCAAAACGTGTTGTCCATGTGGCAACTGTGAATTGTGCCTCTACTATCTTGTCGGAATAGCCTTTCAAATGTTAGATTCTGAAAAAGGGAATGATTAAAGTATAAAGACATACTGACACTTTTATATTGTACAATTGCACAAATATATTCAAAACGAATATTGGTTTGTGAACACTTTTGATTAAATAAGCCATACGTTTACGTGTTAGTGTATTTTTGAAGCAAGTTGAGAAAAGTCAGCTCGACACTCTGGCAAGCACAATCACTATGATGGTAAACATTTTTTTATAATCTATATTTATAATTGTATTATATTGGTTTAGTTTTTTCTTGAAAGGTTTAACGCAAGTGAGATGAGAATGTAACTGGCGACATACATTCTTAGGAAACAATGCTTATAATGACATAATAACAGGAACAATGTATTGTAATTAATTTTGTTATTTATTTTCTCACATTGAACATGATGTCTTATTGCAATTACTATTCTGAATATGACACAGAAGGCGGTAGTATAGCGAATTCCCATGACACAATATTACATCAACATTGCGAAAGATTTTTGCGAACGATTTTTTATCAACGCATAGTGTCCACTTAATCCAGCTAAACCTAATTTTACGAAAATCAAAAATCTGTACTTATCTAGTTCATGATTGAAACAAAGAAGATGATAAAATTTATTTGATTAATGTCATGAATCTACAACTATCTTGACATCATTTGAAATAAAATATATCATGTTTTTTTTATTATGATGGCATTACTGTTTGGTCGTTCTCCTTATTTGGCACATACATGCATTCTTTAATTTTCTTCGGTGTGTACTACACAGCACATTATAAAAAGGGGTCCACCACTAAAGCTAAGTTCACACCAATGGCGCTTTGATGACGCTTTCAAGCGGTGTGCAAAGCGGCTTTGCACAAAGCGCCGTTGGTGTGAACTTAGCTTTAACTACTTTCAACGAAACCTTTATAAACTGTCATAAGGATCATAGTAGTCACAACTCTTGATGATTGATATATACCTTAGTTTGAACTTTTAACAGGCGAGTCTGCAGCTGAAGAGCAATTCGAACTTATGACAAAAGCATATTAATCAATTATCTCCAGCATGGTTGTTTTCTCTTGTCGGAATCTGTAAGGTGAAAATTCACCGAGGTATTCATTATTTTCATCGAACTAGAAATTAACATCAACGAGGTGGAAAGCAAAGTAATGAAATCTAAGTGAAGAATGAAAAATCTTAATTCTAACGATGAATACTTGTACCTTATCCATGTGATTCTTCATCAGGTTTGGTGCTACCCATGTAAGATTATATAGTACCATTGTTCAAGAATATATTATATTATTTTAGCACTGTATATTTATAGGTTTATTGTTTGAAGTAATATGACGCCAGTTTGACCTAGATATAGATTATGGATTAAAACGATAATGGTCAGTCTTCACCTACAATTGCTTTTATCTAATTAGTGATTTTAAAATAACTTATGTGATGTGGAAAATAAATGAACTATGATATACAATGCAAAAATATGGAAAACTCATGCGATAATTCATAAAATGAGAAGAAATATATTATATTTAGTTTTAAGAAGACAGTTTACTCATAAGTTCCATATAATAAAAATTGTATGAAAAAGATTTAGGACATACAGGGTGTTCCAAAAGTAACAGGACTGGTGCTGGCAATTTGTCAATCCTGCTTCAAGCCTAGTGTCTTCAAATTTTCACAAAATGTAAGTTGAGGTATTGCAACTATGACTGTAAAGCTACAGAAAAAAGTATTACATGTAGCTAGAGTTATGGTTACTATAGTAACATGACATCACAATACCTGGGGAAACTTTCCCATGAAAATGTGTTATCTGACATTTTTAAATTACAAAAGAAAGTATCTAATTCACCTACTACAATACAATATGTCTTGTTTGTTTTATTAAAAGTTTTATATTGCTTTTTTGTAATAGTGTTGCTATACAACTCGGATTTAAGTTTGATTTCATAATAACAATATTTATTCAGTTTCCTGGAATATCACATAACAGTCTGCACAATTCACGGTTGAGTCTTTGAAAATACCCAATTTGAAGCCATCATCCACCTTGATAACGCGCATGCCCGCAAGTCAGCTAAAGAAACCACTGCGGCTATAGAGGAGTTGAAGTCTAGGATCATGCACCATATTCTTTCGAGCATGCCAGGCCCGTAGCCAGAATTTGCCAAGGGGGGGGGGGGGTTCATTTTTACAAAAATTTCCAGGGGGGGTTCACATTTGACAATTTTGGCCCAAATATTGCTAAAATCACTTGAGAAGTGCTCAAAATGGTGAAAAACTGCATGATTTTGAAAGAATTTTTGGCCGGGGGGGGGGTCCCCCGAACCCTGCAACCCCCCCCCCTGGCTACGGGCCTGCATGCAATATCTAATTTTGACATGTATTGAGAATGGAATGTTAATCAGTGTGGTAGGACCTTAATACATGAGTACATATCATCATTATGGATATCAAATGATTGAAAGCAAACGAAATTCCCAACAGTTGTTGCATTTCAACATGATATATGGAATGTACAAAATGCTATAAGTCTCTGTAACGTTCTGCCCGTTGCCCCGGGTATTGTGATGTCATTTCACCATAGCAACCCTAACTCTATAAGAGTTTCATGATTTTCGTAGAAACTTTGCAATTTTAGTTACTATAATTATCATGTAAATTTTTTAAGGCAATCGGTGCATATTTCACAGAATGTCAGCACCAGCCCGCGGTTACTTTTGGAACATACTGTATTTACGAGATTAAGAGGTACGTACGTGATTGTAAGGATTCGTCACTATAAGTGTCACTATAAATAAGGTATATCCAATGTACGATCATATGTTAAATTCTTATGAAATAATAGAGGTAATAGTCTTAACCCACTGATGCCATACTTATTTTGAAATTAAATCACCCCAAGAATATATGTTTCCGGCAATTCCAAGAGTGACCCACATCTCTGCCAAAAGTGTGTGTTTTTCTCTTGAAAATCATTTTTCTGAGGTTTAAGAATATATTCACATTCAATATTCTAACAATATCAAGCTTAATGTATGCCTTATAGTTTGGAGACACTCTAATCCATATTCATTAGATGCAATCAAATGTGACCTCCTTTTTTATAGCATGCTGTGTGTGTTTTTCTAGATTCAAACGATTTATTGCTTCCGCAGGCCACGCCCACTCTTATTTATGCCTCAATGTAAACATTATGACAGGGGGCACAGTTTAGTGATAAAATTAGTGTGGACCAGGCCTACGGAAGCACTGTAAATGTGAAGTTGAACTGAACAAAAAATATAGAACATGATTAGGGCAGCCATTTTGAATGTTGACTATACTAGTGCTGTATAGATTCAAAGTGGATTATGAATTTACCTATACTATTGAATAATGACTAAAAGGGCATTTGGTAACCTGCCTAGATGTCAAAATGTGAGTGTCCCCATGGTTAGAAGGAGCATTACCCCGAGCTCAGTTGAAATTTTGAATAATTGACTTAACACAAGGATATCATCATAAATCAATATTTACCCGATGGTAAATCAACGGACCCAAATAAAAAAATATGAAATTTGAAAGTTTGACCTACTTTTGAAAGTTCAAAGGTTGAGGTCAAAACATTCGTTACCATATTTTTACATTTTAGATTTCATAAATGATGATTTTGCACACAAGAATGTTTGATTTGCAAATATACACCGACTTGACCTTTACAAGGTCACGATGACCTCAATAACACTCGGGATGTACCTAAACACTATGTCATCAATAATTTATTTTGCCAATATGACATACTTCACCGGAACACCGTGTAAAGATGTGTATTTGTAAAGAATGAACGGCTGTTCTTTTAAACAATAACACGATCACAAATGATTCAAATCAGAGACAAGCAATAAAACGTCAAGAACCAGAACATTTGACACCAATATCAGGTATCAAATGTATTTTACTTTGTGTAATATAATATAAAGCTTAAGGGGAACAGTCTCTATCTCGCGCGACTACTAAAACAAACTTATTAAAGATAATGCAGCACTATGACGAACAGACTACACTTCTTGGGGGTCCGGTCATCTTGGGGGTCGCGAAATCATTTTGATCTACGATGGTTTACATTGTTTATTTCTAAACAACTATTTCATAACAGAGTAAATGTCATTAAAGATCAACAACTTATAGACCTTGAAGTTGAATCAGGTTGTTTGTGTACATTTGTAATGACATTAAGTATCACTTAAGGCAACGTCAAAGTAGAACATCATCTTAATCACATTCATACAGAGAAAATACCATATAATCTGTGGTTTGTTTTAAACTGCGTTAAGTTTCAATTCGTTTGAAATGTCACTTGACTCTATAAAACACTTGTTTTCTTTTGTTCTCTAGAAGATCGTCTCCGATAAATTACTATACCAACGATTTCAAATCCATATTGCATATCTATTTATGTTTTAAATATTATCTAGATAATAATTAACACTGTATATTGGACGTTAATAAGTGACCTTGACAATATGTTTGCCCCAAAAAGATATCGAAGAGGAATATTAGGTAATTTCGTCTCAATTACTAAAAAATAAACATTCATCAAATAATAATTCTGTTCGCTGTATCTATTAATATAAAACATTAAGAAATTCATATCTTACCTGATGTGTGACATGAAAACCTAATATACCTATCAGCAGTAGAAGTGTATATCCCTGATATTTCATGATGGTCTCAATCAACATGCCTGCTTCCACTTATATCGTGTACTGTCTTCATCTCACCAGTCCTAGGATGGGGATGAAGTTAATGAGGTGACGGAATAGAATGAGTTACTGGTACATACGCAAGTGCTCTACTCACTCCTACACGTCAGCTGGCCACGAAGCTAACGTTCTGTCAACAAACATGTGACAAATAATTGCAGAACTTTATTCCTAACAAGGACACCGACAATGGACTTCACTTGTTGATTATTAAGTTGTACGACAACCAGAGGTTGGAGAAGGAGAATGAATCATGAGACGTATATAATATTTTCTCGTATTAATTCAGTAAATGTGACATGATGATTGGGAAAATATTGGCTACATTTACAAATCTTTTCTCTCATACTTAAAACGCAGGAAGTTAAGAGTAACAATGTGTTACTGTATTGTTACAAAGTGCTGAACACTTTCAATAACGCTTTTGCTTACACTGTACACTGGCCGTGCACTGTCTGTGCGCATTGGCGTAAACATGTCATATGATAGTTCATATTTAGCAAAAGCAAGTTATTAGTATTGAATATTTTTTCCAAGGGGATATCCTGTCGACTGACATGTTCCCTCGACTTGCAGCATCGAGGACATGTCAGAGGACAGATTATCCCCAAGGGGAAATTTTTTACACTATTTCCCGAAAATGTGGCAGTAACTATTTAATGTTTAATTAGGGGTAAACCCAGTTGTCCGAAACCCAATTCTCCGAAACCCAGTTGTCCGAAACCCAGTTCTCCGAAAATTACAGCTTACAGCTCTATGAACGAGCACTTTTTCATTGATAAAGGGTGTATTTGAGAGTATATTTCATCAACTGAACGATTCCTTTATGGCCTGGCATTTAATAAAACTGTCAAAAGATGAAAGTACAAGGGCATATACAGTTGATATCGATGTTCAAACAAACAAAGTTAAATTATGTTATTCTCATTGCAATTAAAGTGGCGTTTACATAACATATATACAATGTAGGGGTGTACAATTTTTAAACCAATTTTTTATGGTCCGTGGGCCTTTTTTGAGAGGGAACAACATTTTTTTCAATGGTTGATGGACGTTCATAAAAGGGAAAATAGCTTTCCCAAGCCAGTAGGCAGTTATTTAGTAAAGTTGACGTGTACATCTTTTGGAACCAAAACTTATACTTCACTTACGTACTCTGTTCGAGAAATAGAGATTAAATTCAAAAGGATGAAGTGAGTACATGCCGAAAATGAAACTTCTTGCGAATGGGAGAATATCCATTTTGATACGAGGACAGCCTGTGATTAAGTTTGGAATGTTTTGTTCTATTACGATTTGATAAGAGACAGAGACTAAGAAATTAAACGCGTCGAAATATTTTGACAACGTAATACGTATACTGTTTTATTCTTAAAGTTCTATGCTTTAACTTATTTTATCTGTTTCAAAATGTTTCATTTTATTTTACCTATATTAAAGAGATTGAAGAAGATAGATAAACTGTTCCGTAATATATATTGTGTTTTGATAACCTTTTTAGAATCTCAATGTAAAATAAATCCTCCGTTCCTGCCATTCTGGTAACGCCATGCAATGGATGCAATTCAAAGTGTGAGATCTATGAACACCAGAATGCGTCCATGCCATTAATTTGGCCAAATACATGGCATGGAACTGACCTAAGCTTTTAAAGTACGTCCGCCCTTTCTCTGGTAAATTATGACTTTATTTTTCGGAGTAATGGGTTTCGGACAACTGGAATTCGAACAACTGGGTTTCGGAGAACTGGGTTTCGGACAACTGGGTTTCGGACAACTGGGATACAATAAAAACAAAATGTGAAATCTTTTAATTACAGTTGTTGATGCTTACATGTTCTTATTGGCATTTGCTATTCAACTCCTATAAGCCTAGCTAGCATCGCAGGGAATATAAAATGTACTAATGACTGATCACATGACCTAACTAGTGATCAGTACTTTTCATCTTCCCTGTTAGCAGGGATCTGGGACTTCCCATGGGATTAGTACGGGGATTAACCCCAGAGTAAAGATTATAATGTAGACCTGGATTGAGATCAAGTACACCTCTGATTGGTCCAAATCGATGAACAAAAATGGCGGATTGAACATTTTCTAATAACAATTCCTGGCGTATTAACCAATATCATATCTTGTTATTTCACATCAACATAAAATAAGATGTAAGGAGTATGGGCTTTCCCCCCTCTTGGATTAGTACATCTATTTCCTATCACGTGACCATGAATAATCCGATGAGCATCTAGAATACATATGGGGTATATGATAATGGCGAATGTTTACTTTCAAAAGGGGACAGGATCTGTTCCATTCAATCGAGGTTGGGCCATGCAGCCGAAGGTAAGCCATACAACCGAAGGTAAGCCATACAACCGAATTTTGCCGATTCAATCTGACGGAGAATGCCGAACCTCTCTTTTTGACCAATTAGAGACGTCCTCTTCACATCCGTGGTACCCTCGGCCAACTTCGTTTGCAAAGAAATTCTTCGGCAATCTCCGGCTTTCTTGAGATATCTTCGGTTGCAAGCCAAAAGTCGACACCCCTTTCAAAAGTTGCGGGATCTCGCGAGACTTAATATGGCAGCAACTAAGAATAAAAAACCTTGAATCATCCTCCTAAGCAGGTATCCAGAATCCGTACCTCCTTCTTCCGTAAAAAGAAAGAAGATATTTTGGATTTTGAAACCCTGTGATCGGAGGATGTGAATTCACTGGCTTAAAGCTGTTTTAATTCATTAATTTAGTTTTCCACTTCAATAATAAACATCCTCGCTTTTCTGTCAAAAGACGTTTCTTTTTTCTTCGTATGGATATATTGATCGTATTATCTACACTAAGCTGTGACATGCCTCCTAGACTTCCAACAACGCGAACATAAGATTTCACGTTCGAGTATCGTGGTTCGAGCGCAAGGAACGTAGTTCGCGATGTCAGAACCGATGTTCGCGTTGATGGCAGTGTAGGAGGCCTGGTGACAGGTTGTGTTTCGATTGATGCATTTTTGTAAATGCATACAATATGATATACTGAAATACATAACAGAAGCCTGAAATAACATTACCACAATGCTGAAAGATCAAATCTAAACTATATTGATGTTATGTTATGAAAAGAAATTAAAGGTGAACATACATTGTTGTTTCAAAAGGACGTGGCTCCATCTTACATGTCAACTTTCAATGCCATCTATCTGAGAGAGAATCGTTGTTTTTAATCAAATAATTCCTCCCTTTCCCTTACTTACAAAGCCTATACATGCATAGCATATTGCCTCGTAAACTTACAAATTAACCACACGATTTCTGAATGAAGTCTATGTCTAAAACGTATAATTCTACCAAGGAAAGTCGTGGGAAAACTTGATTAGTTAAAAGGTAAATACGGAGGACGGTCAACTTTAAATTTAAATTGATTTAATCATCACTGGTTTTGTGGTTTCATAGTATTTTTGCTTGTTGCGTTTTGGGACGAACTGTATATTGCACAATTTAAAGCATGACATTCATTAAGCCGCCGGTTCAATTTAGCGAAGAAATGATTTTACAACATATGATAAAGAAACATGTTGGTTTACATAAATAACCAAATGTAAAATTGCCTATTATGTTATTCTTAAATATTTTCTTAAAAGAAGAATTTTATGAAACACTCATGATAAATAAATATGTCTTCATCATCATCGGTATGCGTCTTTAAAACGCTAAAAGAGTTTACTGAATAGAATTTATTCTATGATCACATACTTTTTGAGTCACATTCGCCAGGGCACTTTGGTTTGGACTTGTGGAAACAGGTGACAGGAAACCTGCGATCTTTTCAAGGGATGACGCACGGTCGTCTTATGGCGTTCTACTTGCGGTCGTATGTTTTTCAATAATACCAAGGCAGACGGGCTAACAGACAACTTATCCCCTAGAAAACTGATCACGATAACCAAAACATTTAAATAAAAATCACTTGAATTACTCAAACATGCCAAAAGATGAGTTGTCCAGGGAATGAATTGTCCATAGGATGAGTTGTCTAAGGGATGAGATGTCTAGGTGATGAGTTGTCCAGGGGATGGGATGTCCAGGGGATGAGTTGTCTAGGGGGTGAGATGTCCAGGGATGAGTTGTCTAGGGGATGAATTGTCCGGTTTCTTAGATGGGCTTACTTAACTCATACCCTAGACAATTCACCCCCTGGACATCTCATCCCATGACAACCCATCCCCTGGATTACTCATCCCCTAGACAACTAATCCTCTATTTATTGTACACCTTGGATCATTCTAAATATCATTTTCTCACTTTATTGACGCAAATTAAACAATCAAACGGTGCCATTAGAACTTTCATCTATTGTCCTTATCGTGTGACATGACTTAATATTTCAAGACAAAAAATAAAGTTTTCTTTTTGCGTAATTTTGAAACATGAACATCAGTTACTTTTGTGAATTCTGTGAAAAAATAATCATTGGATTAAAGAATATTTGAACTTTGAACAACAAACATATTATGACATCAAAGGAGCTTATGGCATCAAAGGAGCTTTTTCAATCAATCTTAATATTATTTAGAAATTGTATACTAAAAGTAAAATTAAAGGTTAACATATACAAAACAAATTACAGATCAATTCATTGGTTGATTATCTCCTTGAAAATATCATCGTTTTTTAAACAATTCTCTTCCAGAAAGTCTTCGTTCACTTGATTATGCTTTTTACCCAATCGGCCGGATCGCTCCGGTCACAAAATGTCCTTGAAGGTACAATTTTTCTCTTTTCCTTATTTCATGCGCTGTAGGTAGAATTCCCACTACATTTTTATCACAAACGTATGTCAGTATTATGACTTGTCTAAGAAAATAAACATGTTTGCGATCAAATAGTACAGAAGACAACCGAATTGTCGCTTTAATACCTCACTACTGTAATGTAAATGGATTGAGTTAGACATGCAGATCTTAACCGCTTTTTGAAGTTCCATTTACATAACAAAAGTGAGGCATTAAATTGACGATCATGTTGTCTTCTGAACTATTTTCTTAGACGCATGATACTGACACACATTTGTGATAAAAATGTTGTTAGAATTCTGCCTACAACCAGTGAAATTATGAAAAAAGAAAAATCGTACCGAGGCTCTGACATTTTGTTACCGAAACGATCCGTTTACAACGTAATCGAGTAGAGTACCAGTGTTCATGTAATATGGTTTTAAAACGTAAAACTGATCATGATAACCAATAGAAAACATTTATAAATAAATTGAATAATATATGTATTGATAATTAATATAACATTAAATTACTCAAACATGCCAAAGGATGAGTTTTCCAGGAGATAAGTTGTCCAGGGGATGAGTTGTTCAGGGGATGAGTTGTCTAAGGGATGAGATGTCTAGGGGGCGAGTTGTCCAGGGTATGATATGTCCAGGGGATGAATTGTCTAGAGGATGAGCTGTCCGGTTACCGGCAGACGCAAGGCGGCAGTACGTTAACCAAAGAGCGACAATGCGAAAATACTGGAACAAGCCGAAAGGCGACCATAGAAACCGTAAGTATTTTTCGATTTTCGGAAACTACGGTCGGCGTATCCTAATCGTGATTCAATAGCAAAGACGTTAATCAATCAATGGATAAGTCAACCAAGTAATCAATAGAGTTAATCAGTCTTAAAGTCCCCGTCTAAAGTTTAAACCACTTTGGCTTATATTGTAGTCTTACCCAATGTTATCAAAGTGTGATATGTGAAACTTTTTTTTTTAATTTCAAAAAGTGTTTTTTGATAGACTTTTTGTTCCAAAATTTGTGAATTTATTTAAAACTAACTTTTAGAGGTCATACATATCTTTTAATTAGCAACAACTCATACCAATGCAAAGTATTCATCCTCGCATGTTTTTTGCCGAAAAAATTAAGAAAATCGGTTCATAAATAAGCGAGAAATGAACTTATCAGTGCATGAAAATGGTTCCGAGAAAAATGCATTTAAAAATTCTAGTTCTCATAGAGACCAATGGTACAATGATATCTAAAACATAATATATTCTTCCTTTTAACCTGGTTAGACAATCAACATTGGTATATTATTGAAGTCTAGCATAATAAGAAAAGATTGACATCGAAAAAAAAATTTCAATTTTTTTCAAAAAGTTTTTGGTACCTTAGTGACATCACTAATGGTGCAAAATATTTTTGATATGCTAAAACATTGAAGTGGCCCATTAAATATGGCATTTTATTATTGAAATAGTGTGTCCTTTGATCAATCTTTGCATTGGTGTTAAAAAGATAATCTTTTTCGAAATGCTTTAAGAAATATTGATGATTAAAAAATTTCAGTTTTTTTTGAAAAATGGCGGGAAATTTGAATATTTGAGAAATGAAATGCTCACAACTTTTTTTTCAAAAAAAAATTTTCTTTCAAAAACCTCTAGAATAACTTTTTAAGTCATGACAAATAGTAAATGAATGATAAAAAAATATTTTCAAACTTTAGACGGGGACTTTAACGGTGAACAAACAATTAAGCATGGTTTGAAAAATAGTAAATTAGAACACGGTAGTGTTTATATCATTCCGTATTAGTCGTTTTGTTTATATTAATACGGAATAAATCGTACCATTTTATGAAAGGTCGTGACCTTATCCTACGGGAATGGGGATTATGCTTCACATTGCTTCACACAGCAAGTTCTGACGGCGGTACTGTACAGCATCGGTTCCGATAATGGGAGTTTTAAAAAGTTATGACTTTTCTCATTTTTCACGTTTCTGAAAATGTAAACAAAGGAGGTTGGGACCCTAAGGCTTTTTCATTCTTCGATCGTCAGAAATGTATTTGGCGTCTATAGAAAATACAATCAATTCCCTCGAGTATGTCCTATACAGTATCGCCAACCGAACTTGCTGAGAAACATATCCGATATAAATCTGGATACTAGTTGAATCAATGGTACATTATGATCAATATTCAATCTTTTACCAAGGGCGACAATGGCTATCTGAGCATAGATCCTGCTATCGATATTAATTAACAAAATAAAATCCATATAAACTAAAACATGAAAAGGTGGATTTAGGCCCTACTGCACGTTTTATATTATCTCTATTTCTTTTCTATTCTTTTTCACTGATTTCCTTTGTTCTGAAGGCATAGCTGTCAACCCCATGATATTCCTGTACATCAGAAGTCAGAAGGTAATGTTTTACACATCTATAGCAAAGTGGTTTGCATCGTACCTAAATACACTTATTACTAGCATACAGACGGTTCCATCCAATTATCCAAACTAAAAGGTATCAAACAAAACACGCTTTTGAGAAGTATTTTCCCGGTAATTGATTTCACTAGTAAAAAGTAGCCCAGGAGTATCGTTAGTAGGAAAAGCTAAGTTCACACCAACGGTGCTTGATTGCGCTTTAAAGCGGCGTGCAAAGCCACTTTCCACGCCGCTTTAAAGATCAAAGCGCCGTTGGTGTGAACTTAGCTTTACAAAAATACAAAAAGACCAAGTAAATATTCATGCGTGTACTAAATTCAAGATAGCATGACAAAATATCCCATATCATAGAAATTATGCGTTGCTCCGGCATGGGATCTTTCTTCATGCTATCTTGAATTTAGTAATCGCATGAATATTTACTTTGTCTTTTTCTATTTTTGTAAAGCTAAGTTCAAACCAACGGCGCTTTGATGGCGCATTAAAGCGGCGTGCAAAGCGGCTTTGAAGCATCATGAAACTCGACAATTTCTAAAGCTAAGTTCACACAAAACTAAGTGTGAACTTAGGTTGAGATGTGTTTTATAATATTCCAATCTTACTTCAATGTATGCTTTTGATATATCACTAAAGCTAAGTTCACGCCAACGGCGCTTTGATGGCGCTTTAAAGCACCGTGCAAAGCGACTTTTCACGCCGCCTTAAAGCGCCATCAAAGCGCCGTTGGTGTGAACTTGGCTTTAGAAGTGCAAAATAGTACACTGTATATGCACACCAAGGGCGCTTTGAGAAAAATATTAGTTTTGCCTACTCATAATTCTATACCCTTGTGCTATACCGTTTATTGTTGCAATATTAGTTTAAATACGAAAGAGTTTATTACCGATATATACTACAACTGACAAAACCTAGAATGGAAATGCAAAAGTCTGGATACAAATTGAAATTGAAATTAATGACACATTTCGCAATGACAGAACGCGTTCAGCTGACGCGTGAAAGAGCGGACGTTTGACAATCCAATACTGTGATAGCTCAATCGTTCTACTCCATCTGTCAATTAGTTATCTCGGAGACTATGCAGATATAAACAAGCCATATTGGAAGCTGGCATCAACTGCGATAATGATGAAATCTCCAGAATGTGCTCTTTTACTGCTGATATGCATTTTCGGGTTCCATAACACGATTCAGGTAAAGTTATTATTTTATGTTTATATAAACTAAACATTTGACCAGGTAATGCTCATTTTATGGCCTGTTCTCTTTACATAAGTGGTGTTATGGATACGAGTTACACGCAGATTTTCCAAATTTGGGATAGTTAGTAAAATATCATTGTTGTCAACATTTGAACAATTCTGCCTGGAATATGCATGCCCATTATTACCAATAGACAAGAGGGAACGTATAAAAATGTATTGAAAACATGTAATTTAAATGAATTGAATTTCACCCTATTGTCACTTACCCCTAAAAATGCATAAGACTCTGTTTGTCTAATCGTATTGTTTAGTATATTTTTAAAGTACCTTATTAACGTCTAACAGTCATCCGATAAACCATTAATAAGGAACAGACAAATAAAAACAAATAACATGACCATTACAAATAAGCCAAATGGGTTGCTCATGAACACCAAATGCAATGTATAGTAGAATGAATTTAGAAGTGATTGAAATGAGTTATGAGATATATTCCTTACAATCCCAAATAGATTATCTCCTAAAAGATCCATGACATGTTTTAAATTGGTGAAGTTATTATAGATTCAAAGTGCCAAATAATTGTTTAAATTTTCCCAAATTATGAAAATGGTTAACCATGAAAATAGAAAATCAATACATAATGAAATGATATCGAATGCTCGAGCCAAATATATGAAACAATTTTCGTCGAGGTCATGATGAAGTACTTGCAAGATCTGATTCTGCCTTCAATATACTATGTTGTCAGTCCTTGAAATCTGTCATCAATGCCTTTTAACCCTAATATCTGCAAGGGGTGGAGGGTATCAATCCGTTACTTTTTTAGCTTTAGGCGCCACAGATATAAGAGCCTATTGCGTAAAAACCAAGGTGATTGGGGACAGAGGGGCAAAGTTATGATAGTTGAAACTTGAGAGTTTATCTCAAAATGTCAAAAATTTACACATCCTAGGTCACGTTGACCTCGACGTGACCCATGTCGACCTACTTTAAAAAACTTTTCTGAAGAGGCAATTGAATAAGGTTTACAACAATACCAACAATAATCAAATTAGGCAAGTAATAAAAAATCCCAGAGAGAGGGTCTAAATGATCCCCACCTTGCGACTATTAGGGTTAAAGTGCTACAATCTTAATAATCATAATTGATCTGAGACAAGTTGACAAAGTCTAAATCAATGCTGATACAAGAGGTCAATTTTAGGAAATGTTTTGTAAAACTGGTGTATTTAAAATCCGTATCGATTTTTTGTCAGATACCAACTAGGTTAAAGTGGTAAAATCCGTTATATTTGTACATGGCTGTAGGTTCCATCTCTTCTTAACCTGTAGGTTACTTCTACAATACTTCGTTTATCAAGACCACAATCTATTATTCAACTTTATACTAGAAACATGCGTCAGTGTATAGACGGTATGTCAGCTGAAGAACGTCGACAATTACTTTGAGTAATAATTGGTGGACAATCATTTTTTATGATTTCATATCATCGTATACATAAATAGATGAACATTTGACACAAGACAGTTTGATGTCAGAAAACTTGAATAGAACATTAATACACAATTTAACAAAAGCAATAGACCTATCAATAATGCCGATATTGAAGAAAAATAACATGGATACTTCCTTCCATAATTCTTTGTAAAAAGTAAAGAGACACAGAGAGAACCATGAAGAGCCTCCAAAACAAAACAATTAACATTCGCATCTAGCTCAGTTCAACAAATTCATTGCCGTTTTCTTTGAAAGGTTCAATAGTTGAAATTCTCGTCCTAAATAACCCTAACATATTTCAATTTATTATAATATATAATTTGCAAAATATATAGAATGATCGAAGTAGAGTAAACGTCGCTACATTCCCGTCAAATTGAAAGCATAATTTGACCCCTAGGGTGCTTTGAACCAGGTGAAATATGAACTACACGAAGGGGATATAATCTTGAACCGCCAGCAAACAAGATTGATAGAGAAAACACTCAAATCAAAGAATCAACGAAACAGATCAAAACGAAAAATTATTCCTTTTCGAATATTCAAGGAAAGTAAATGGACATTTCCTATAAAGTACAAGTTCAACTATTATCCACTAAATGGTGGTAAGTACAATGTTTAGTAACTCCTACCCGAACTCTAACAATGAACTATTACAACGGTTTCATAATTGAAGAAATTGAGTAATTGTAAAAATGTTATTTTTTGTTTGTTACTGTAGTAGTTAAGTTTGTTTTTTGTATGTACAGGGTGGGCCAAAAAATAATACCCAAGTTTAAATATCATATGATATAACGTTACATCATGCAATGTATTATATATCATTTTAAAGATATATCATTTCCTAACAATATGACACCATCTGATTGAAAACCCACTGTTTTCGTGTGGAGTAAGGGCCTAAAAATTGACACCAATTTGTCATGAGCGACGAAAAAAAATTCACTGCGGATTTCCAAATTGTGGAAAATGGAGGTTTTCAACTTTGGCAATACAAGTTTAGTGCAAAAATTACCAATAATACTTATATCTTTTTAATAAATTATAAATTGTGTATTACTCTTAAATAAATTTATGATAATTCAGTCAAGCATATTGAGTGCAGCCGCGACTGCAATATAGAGGGAAAGTAGGAGGGGAAGTAACGCAACAGATTTCGGACAGTCATATGTTGGCTTTTGGCTATTTTCTGAGGATTTAAATAGATGCATATGTTAGGACAATGCATTATCCCTAGGAAAAGCCCTCATACAGATGATAAAAAATTTCGACTTTGAGACAGGGGAGATGCAAACAACCCACCCACATGTTTTTCTGAAATGTTTTCCTGTTTTCAACCCCTTCCACCCCTGCTTTTTCAATTTCTGTTGCATCAATAACTTGCGTTTTGAGACATAGTTGACCCCATAAAAGGAACAAGTAATTCCTCTTCGATAAAGTGGAAAACAAGATTTCCCATGTTATTTTCCCATAGGGAAAACACATGCGATCCATTGCTTTCAGCGAATTTTGGTCACCCATAATGGTTATCTTTAAAACCCCTGAAGGAATTACTTGTTCTCTAAAAGTGTTAATTGTAATTAAAAAAGCAGGGGTGGAAGGAGTTGAAAATCAGGACAACATTTCAGAAAAACATGTGGATGGGTTGTTTGCATCTACCCAGTCTCAAGGTCAAAATTATTTTATCATCCCTATGAGTGCTTTACCTGAATGCATTGGACTAACATATGCACCTGTCCGAAATCTGTTGCGATACTTTCCCTCCTCCTTTGGGAAAATCATTTCTTGATTTTTGGTCGCTTATGGCACCCCTGGTGTCAATTTTAGCCTCAAACTAAACAAATAAACATGATTTTCAATTAGATGGTATTAGATGAATTGTTCATGTTTACACTTGGGTATTATTTTTGGCCCACTCTATATACCCTATAAGGGGTGAATTGAGAAATAGATAAATAAAAAAAAATATATATCATATTATAAGAATTACTCGATAGTAAATTGTGGCGCCAACTTGGTTAACGGGATGAAATTGTCTTTCTGTTAGAATATAGGCCAAAGGCTTTACGAGATTCTTTTTAATCATACATGCCTATATTTAATATACACTCCCCTCCATAAGTTTGGCAACCCTTTTCCCCCATTGAACTACGTGTTAAAACCTCTTTACGTTTGAATTTTTATTTACTTAACCCGCGATAAAATAACTTATAATATTGATGGAAACGTAACTTGACTTTATTTCCAATACATCCAAATTTTCTCAATTTTTTCCTCAATTACAATAGGTCGAAAATTGATGATAAATTTGATGAATTTTTGAAAATCGTCATTCCCATGTAATCCAACGGGAAATGAAGGGTTCGGGGCAAATCAGAAATCAGGATATCTTTTCAGTAAAAGATTCAGCAAAAATATTTTTATATAGAAAATTGAATTGTCCAACTTTTTTGAACACTAAGTGTTTAGTTTATTTGATGAATATTAAAAATACAGCGCTTCAAAGTCATTTTTGAAAATAATTTTTCGCCTCCTGTGTTATTTCAATGGACGAGGTTTTTTGAAAAACAATTTTGACTTTCAAGCCCTATAACTTTGTTGAACCTGAAGAAACATATCAATTTTTGTTAAATAAAGTTAGCAAATTCAATTGCCTGCCTAACTCGTATTTTTTGCAAGGACTCGGATGGATGGATATTCTGTCATATGACTTGCGGCAAACCAACCATTTCCCATTGGTTAACATGGGAATGTCGATTTTCAAAAATTCATTAAATTTATCATCAATTTTCGACCTATTGTAATTGAGGAAAAAAATTGAGAAAATTTGGAGATATTGGAATTAAAGTCAAATTACGTTTCCATCAATAGTATAAGTATCTTCATCGCAGGTTAAGTAAATAAAAATTCAAAGGTAAAGAGGCTTTAACACGTAGTTCAATGGGGGAAAAAAGGTTGTACATCTTTGAAATCATATTTCATATGCTACATCCAAGGATGAATACATTTCGAAAAAGGAATGACGATGGCGGCCATATTGTTAATTTAGGCGAAAGATGGAAGGCAGCTATTCGTAAGGCAATTTATAAATGGGAGAATACAACATGTATACGCTTTCAAGAAGTACTCGATCATGAAGAAGAACCAAAGTCACCGTATATTTCATTTACTAATTCACAGAGGTAAGTAACCGTAATATGTTTGGGAATCTAACATATAATAACATTATACTCATTCATTCTGTACCCAGGTCTTGTCCTACCAGTTCTTTTTTCTTGATGTTGAACTTGTCTATCTCATATTCGGTACTGCTTAATGTCCAATACGTACATGCTTCCATCGTTATCAGAAATATAAATTACAATCGTGTAAATATATCCTAAAACTGATTTGATATAGCCTGTGTTAGTCACAATAACTGAACACTATAATATTGTAACGACAAATAAAAAAGTCAGTTGTATAATGATTTGATGCATTTTCTGCAAAGGTATTATAGACAGGTACCAATTTAATTAATTCAAGTTTTTGAGGCATTATTTTAGAAAAAGCGATAATGTTGATAAAGATATTACAAGATGAAAGCTCAACTAGGTGGGCATGACACTGATTTTTAGCGTTTTTACTCCCATGGGAAAATATTTTAGGGGGTACTATGATATCAATTCATAAATCAAAAGATATATTACTGTTCTGAAATCTTCAGCATACAATCTTAGTACAATTGCTAGTAGGCTAATATCTTTGTTGGTCTCAGAAAAATACAATTAATAGTAACAATTTTTGTCACAATGCTTGTCCCATTTTGTCTTGCCAATTTTATATGTGTAACTTCAAGCAAAATATGACAGCTTTAACAACTCAAAGTAGTATTCTAATAACATTTCGAGCTATATGTGATATTATCAGTTATTATACGTTTCAGCATGTGATACCGAAAATATTCCAAGAAAGTAAAAATTGTATCACCACGAAAGTGCAGCTTGAGTATTAAATCAAAACAACAATATGGATGTTTTGGCCCAACAAAATGATTGTACTGTATATACACTATAAGATAATATTCTTATATTTTTGCAAACACTAGTGTCTTGGAATACCCATCATTTTCAGTGGTTGTTTTTCATATGTTGGACGTCAACCTAATGTAGTGCCACAACCAATCAATTTTGACGACGGCTGCTTGAATTCGGTATGATGTTGTTATTATATTTTAGCTTATTTTTTAATGTTTTCTGACATCACACTGATTTTTGTCTCTGCAACTTTTTTTGGCAGAAAATATCATTTTTAGTTCAAAAATGCATAAAAACGTCGGAACTGGCTGAATATGTGAAAAATTTATCCATTTAGGCTAGAAAGGGTTAATTTGCCCTACCCCAAATACGTCTAACTTTGCCACTGTGTCGTCACAAATCTAACTTGACTTTCTCTGAGTTTATTGAAGAAAATGATACGTCTAACAAACAGCTTTCATTCCATATAGGGCACACATTCTACTAAGAATTGCATCATTGACTAAATCTACGACAAAGGCCCTATGTCCCGAGGATTTTGACTGAAATTTGGCCATTTTCGCCCAAATCTAAGTAAATAGCAGTTTCCCCCACAGCTGTATCTTGAAATAAATATTGCTACAAAGTAACAATTTAAAAATCACACATGCATACTGTTTCTGTTGGCCTGACACGTGTATCTAGCCTGTAAAAATGAAAAATCGCTACATTATAGCAATTTCAGTGAGATATGGGCCCTCAAAATCATGTAATTTTAGCAAAATTGAAGAAATAACCTGCAATTTTGACGGAATTTCAGGGGACTTTCTTTCATTTATGACCCTCCACGGGCCTCTTATGACTATTCTTATACGCACAGAAGGGTTGAAAGTGATTTTAAATCATTGTTTGCCCTACGCAGCAGGGGCGGATCTGGGAACCAACAAGGGGGGGGGGCCCAAACTTGTGGGCTGAGAAAAAAAACGTCCGAAAAAAATTTTGGGCCCCAAAAACCCAAAAGTGGGCCCAAATTTTGAAATTTTGAGGCCCATTTTCTTCAAAATTTGGCCTAAAATTAACAAATAAGGCCTTACAAGGCCAATTTATGACCAAAAAGGCCTACTTTTTGGGGCCTTAAAGCCTTTTTTGGCTCAAAATCTTTTTTGGGCACAATTTTTTTTTTCTGGGCCCACCCAAGGGGGGGGGCCCGGGCCCCTGGGCCCCCCCCCCCATATCCGCCAGTGCGCAGAACGAAAAAATCGATTCTGTTCTCAAATTCTGCTAGAATATTGGTCTCTAGCCAACTAGCAGACAATTTTAAGCCTCATATTAAGGTATGAGTACCGTAATCCAACACCAAATTCGAAAATTCAGAACAATACTTTGCACATATGGCGTTCCTGATCAACTATTAAACGCTTACCCCCATAGTGTTATACTGTATATCAAAATGTACCTGTTCATATAGGGGTTCGATTGATCCACATCAAATTATAGTGAGTCAGGTTACTTTTTGAGATATCAGCGTCCATTTATTGTAACTCGCGTTTGCTACCATTTCCTCAATTCTGACATGACAGGCAAACGCGTAGTAAACATGCTCACGTCAGAACTATTTTTGACCTACATCGCTATTTTCGTAATTCAAATGAAAGTTGAACTCATCCTCTTTATTTTGATACCCAATTGTGGCATACTAGGTACCCTAGAAGCCAACTATGGCGTTATTTAGAACAAAACCACAAGTTTTTAAATGGACCTTTATTTTTCAAATTAAAAAAGCTTCATATTTTTTTTAATTTATTTATTAAAGAAGCTTCACATTTCACATTTTGATAACATCGGGTAAGACTACAATACTGTATAAGCCAAAGTGGGTTCAACTTAAGTGGCGCAACCAGGATTTTGATAGCAGGTACGCGAGGCAGAAGGCCTAACAAAACTGCGGGTCCGGGGACATCCCCCTCGGAAAATATTTAATTTTGTGTTTAATTGAATGGACTTTATTTCCATGAAAGTACAAGCCAAAATCATTAGTATTTACAAAGTTATTTTACAAAAATTGGGTGGCATTTTTTGTGTAGAATCCATGTCTGTTAATTTAAAGGAATGGACGGCATTTAGACCCAATTTTGTAACGCTCATAAACTTTAACCAGCTTAAGCTACACATTTGAAATTTCTTGAGATGCTTTTGCATTATATCTACTAATAGACAACAAATAATGTAACGTAAGGTGGGTGTCATTATCAATAACGCAGATGCGAGTAGGTAGTTACCAGTTTCACCACCAGGTGGCTCGTTCGGGTCAGATAGCATGGCGGGTATAGTAGAAAGTTCGCTTTAACTTAAATTACATCTGTTTTAGTGGTTCAATTTCCATATAACCTTTATGTATTTAATAGTTAGGCAAGTTAAGATATGTCCAGTAAAAGAAAATGTTATCTGTCCAATACAAGAAAAGATATTTCACTTTTTGTGATTTTTTAACATTGTGTCTATGGGGAATCAACCCGAACTAGAAGTCACATTCTCAAAATTATTAAATTTTCAAAGTTGATAAACAATTTCGAAACTATATTTCTAAATGTACATTTACATGTAGATTTCAAATATGACATCACTTTGACTGAATTTTTAATATTAAATGACGTAAATCAAGATTATTTCTACTCGCATTTAGTCTATTGATATGTCCATATGTCTATTTAAGTCTGGTACATTGGAACATGAGATAGCACACGCTTTGGGGTTTTGGCATGAGCATGCTCGACCCGATAGGGATCAATATGTAAGTAATTGTCCGTTATCCTTTTAAATTGCTGAATTACTTCTTATTCTGTATTACTTACTTCTTAAAATCAACTTCCAATTTTCCGCAATAAAAAATCAAATTTTGAAGAATGGGTTTCTCATTAGTTATAAAAGCGATCATTGTGTTTAGGTAAGAATTAATTCCAAGAACATCGTAAAAACGTTAGAAAGCAACTTTCTGAAGGTCCCAGGAGTTCAAAGCGAGACATATGGCGTCGAATATGACTATTCGTCTGTAATGCATTATCATGAAAAGGTAACGATAACACACTCTGCGTTTTTATACAGTAGCACAGTCATCTAAAACACTCAATGGTATACATTTGTCCAGAGTATAGCTGGATTGTAATTTTAACACAATATTCTGATATAGTTATTATTTTGTATAGAAAATTGATAAAATATAGGATAAAATGAAGTTTCCAGTTTCATTCGAGAATATTGCAGCTACGTATTTTCAGTAAGCCATTTAACTAATCGGTTAAATTTCAAACCAATTAATGACTTAAATTACATCCTGTATTTGACCCTTTGTATTGAAGATACGTTACTAGCGTGTTATTCATCCGTACTTTACAAATGTAAATCATCATTCCTTGACATTCCTGTGAAAAAATGATGTCCTTTACTTTTGTATGGTCTTGTATCTACAAGTAAACCTAATTGACAAACAAAACTAAGCGAAGAATTCGAATTTGTAAATAACGTTTTGTTGAATATACAGTACATGTGTTTTAAGTATTTAAAACATGGACAAATGTATACCATCGAGTGTTTTAGATGACTGTGCTACTGTAAAAAACGTCAAACATTGGAAAAGCAACGTTTGTTGGGCTAGTATCAGTTGATGCTTGACATCACATGAGTTTCTACAAGTGAACAATATTTGTGCAAAACTCGTCCGTTGTGTGTTCCGTTAAATAATTGAATGCCATCATAATCTCAACTTCTTCAAGAGACCTCTTGATTTCATACTCAACCGATTATAATAAATATGAAATGATATATCCTAGGCATTCAGTAACCAAGGTGTCACGCTGGTAGCTCTAGACGACCTCTACCAAAGCACCATGGGACAGAGGGTTGGTTTATCGTTTGCTGATATTAAAGTTGCAAATATCGCATATAAATGCAATTGTAAGTTATATATATTTCTTAATATTCAACGTATCAAGTTGAAAAGCACAACAGCTCCAAGTTTTCATAGCCACTGGTCAGTATCAAGCGAATGTAACGGCCGTTACCTTCGCATCAAAGATGGCGGGTAGCATGTGTCGATTTCGATATTTCTAGTTTTCATCGACTTAAACTTCGTTATAGGTGACGTAATGCTTGGGTATTTGAACTATATCAGGCATAGATGACATTGTAACTTTGGAATATTATCATTTGTTCATATGCCAAGCGCAGGCAGTTAACCGATATTTTCCACCACTAAAGGAAGGTAGCTGGGATTTTGGCTTTACACATGAAAAGATAACTGATATGCGGTGATGCGGTAACGATATGAGAGCTTATAATGGAGGGCTAAGATGTCCAGTAATTACCGTGTATTGAAAACGAACATGACCGTTACGGTATCATACGTTTCCAGTTACCTCCCCTTGAAAAATGGAAGATATCGTTGAACTGTCGCGCCAGTCGCACAAGATATATGAATAGATCATCATCTTTCAGAGTTTCCATGTCAAATAATTAAGCCTCATTTGGTTCAAAAATAAAAGCATAACGAGGACTATGCTTACTGTAATTACTGTCCGTCATCTTATATGCGAAAGTTACGGCCGTTACCTTGATACTGACCAGTGATAGATAGAACTATAAACTGGGTCTATTTACTTTCTTTTGAATTTGCACCATTTAGTATAGTGAATTCACTTTCAAACATGGCATATAACAAGGTAATCAGACTTTTATTGACGAAGATAGAATGTTTTCAATATCATAATGCGGCGCATTGTAACTGTCCGCGACTTGCGCTTTGATCCAAATAATTTGAGTAAAAAAGTGATTTCTGGAAACTGGTAGTCATATATACATGAAATATTTTTGGAGTCCCGAAACATGATTGTCAGATGTTTGTCCATATCTTTATTAGTTTTGTAGAAATGATTTTATTTGTCTCCTCCCCACCTAGATCTTCCCATTTTGCAGCTATTTTTTCATTTTCCCATCTAAATATTCCTATATTTTATAAAATAGTGTATTTATAAAATTCGCGTATACAAGTAACGGCTGTAGGCTACCAGATAGACATACTATCTAATTGGCAACTCATTAAAATATGATGTGATTTAGTTGGTCATAAAATTAGTAGGTTAATCTGGTAGCCGACAGTCGTTATTTGCATTCATGCATACAAGCATTATAGTTTACATACAAGTCATCACAATTAACATAATACTTTGGGTGGTCCCGATATATACGTACTTTTAGATAATACTTATCATATATATAAAATGTGGCACCTGCATTTTTCAGGGAATTGTAGACCGTTACCTGTTGGTAAGAGTTGTAAATGGGGCGGTTATGTTGATCCGAATAACTGTAGCCAGTGTGTGTGTCCTGATGGTTTTGGAGGGAGGTATTGTGATGGTATTGAGAGTGGAAAACCAGGTACTCTAAACTACAAATTGTGATAAAATGTGTGTACACTATATATCAATTCTTAGACGAAATGTGCCTTTTATTGTAAGTACTTTCATTTCGATATTACACTTTATCTAGAGATGGCTTCAAAAAGATCCGTCAATATAAGTCTTTAAAAGTAGACCAGAGCTTTCATAAACAATACCACGTATAAGATAGTATTTTAAATATGTTAAGTAATAAGTCCCTTGTGACATAGTGTTCAGTTGCATCCTAAGTGTTATTGAGGTCATTTTGACATTTTAAGGTCAAATCGGTACACATCTTAAAAGCAATTTTTTTGAGTGCAAAATCAATATGTATAAAACCCAAAATATGAAAATATGTAAACTTTTTAAACGTTTTTAAGAACAATTTGGATGTTGACCTGGACGTATGAAAGTAGGTCAAACATTTCAAAGTTTTGTTTCCGTTGACTTAACATAAGGATAACCTAAATTATTTAGGCGGATTTTTCAATAGTGTAGTTGTCTCATCAAAGGGTACGAATCGAGCGTGACAGTTGAACGTACGGTGTACGGTACACCACAGGGGTAATGAAATGTAGGCAAACATATGTTTCATCGTTTCAGCAAGATGTGGTCTAGTTTCTAGATATTTTTATATGTAAATGTCTGTAACAACATCCTAGACAGTAAGTTTGACGTTATATTTCATAGTTAAACCTACACAAACTCCGAATGTAGTATACCAGCAAAAAACGTCCGATAACGGTAAGGAATTCGAACAACACAAGGAATTGGAATTTTCGTTATACCGTATCTTACCAGCACGTTGCATTGTATTTATACAGGGTGTTCAAAAACAGGACCGTAAGAAAGTTGAATAACTCGCTCAATTTTGCCTTGAAATCTCAGCATTACTTAGTTCATTCAATGTGAATTGTGTTATGAAAGTTTGATTACAATATGCCAAAAACTACAGTTCCTTACAAAACATGCACTGTCTTGGTGGCAATGAGCAAAGATGGAATCACTAGTCCTTTTTGGTTCGAAGATAACTGGGGACGTGCTATCACCATGAACAAGGACCAGTATATTCTCACTAGTTCTCACTAAATTCGCGTAAGTGTAACATGCCTATCCTACGACGCTCTTGTATTAGCATGCATACACCTACGTCATATTAACACTGACTTCGTCCTTACCAGGCCTCATTCAATCAATCTTTGGGGAACGGCGTATCCTATCGTTCACAGAGCTTTTATTTAAACTCCGTTCACGAGTATACTTGTTTTTTGGGCTCTTATCCCAAAGATTAATGATTATATAAGGTTGCATAATCATGATTTTGCGCTGTCATTACGTAACATTATCTCATGATTACGTAATCGTTTCTTTGGTATACAATTACGCAAGCTCTGATCGATAGATAGCCGTCTCCCCATGCCAAAAAGGTTAAATTGTAATATGTTATATTTTATGTAATAAAATCTATAAAACGTACACATGTTCTTTGGATATAAATTGTGATTTAACAAGTATTTGTTAAATCTGGTTTATATCACAGAGAACGGTGTCTGTCCTACCAGCCCAATTAAAAGTCTGTTGACAGATCCAATTAGGCCGGGACAATAACTTATCTTAATGCTATACCAACTGTTCTGTAGTAGTTTGGTTTACACAGTTTTAGCTTTGCATCTTGAGGAAGTCGGACGCTTACCCGCCCCCACCCCTTCGCCCCCTTAATAGGGGGTATCGGGTGGCCCGGATTTCGGAGGCGGCTATCTATCTCAGCACTCGGTCCTCTATGGTCTCGCTCTTATCCCAAAGATTAATGATTATATAAGGTTGCATAATCATGATTTTGCGCTGTCATTACGTAACATTATCTCATGATTACGTAATCGTTTCTTTGGTATACAATTACGCAAGCTCTGATCGATAGATAGCCGTCTCCCCATGCCAAAAAGGTTAAATTGTAATATGTTATATTTTATGTAATAAAATCTATAAAACGTACACATGTTCTTTGGATATAAACTAAGTTTTGGAGGTCACTAAGCACCAGAAGGGGCATCTAAGGAGATAGGCAGTGGTTCCAACAAGCTAATACCACCCCAACACAGCAAATGATATGCTGAAATGGTCTAGGCAATAATTTAGTGGTCAGCTCATCAGTTGCAGAACGCAAACCATATGGGCAGTTTAATTCCCAGATCTTAATCCCCCAGATTTTTATCTTGTGGATATCGTAAAGCCAATATTTATACTGACAGGCCCCTAACAATATCGATCTTGAGAGGGCAATATCTATGCCAATATGTACCATCCACGTTGATGTGTATCGGCCAGGGTCATTAACAAATTTGTTTGCAGTATTCATTTGTGCATAGAGCGGAGAGGTGTCTACTTTGAGCAAGTTTTGTAAGTAGTTTTTGAAACAATAGACAGATTGTCATCAAACTCTCAGAACATTATTCACATTGAATGAACTAAATAATTCTAAAATGTCAATTAAGGCAGAATATGCAAAATTGATCGAATTATTTAAACGTTCTAACGGTCCTGTTTTTGGACACTCTGTACCTTATTTATAATGACGGGTCCTTTGATTCCAGAATAACATGCTATACATTTGGCTTGATGATATAGTGACTTATTATGAAATTAAATAATATGGGAATTATTCAGTTTTGTGCTTTATAACAGATGAGTGTAGTGGTTTTCTAAATGCTACCATAGAACCACAGTTGATAACTTCACCAGACTACCCGAGGCATTATCAAGATTTCCAACACTGTAATTGGAGAATTATTGTAAGTGTTCATAAAAAGAAACAAAAGACGGACATGCGGCGTCAAAATCCAGCATTCAAAATAATGACAAGTGTAAAAACACAAAATGTAAGATATGAAATGGTGATTTATGGGATACCAACAATTACATAATAATACCTTTAGTTAATTAAGTTTCATTTTACAGGCACCAAAGGGTTGCAGAATAGTTCTGAGATTCGTTGACTATTTCGAGATATTTTGCAAAAATGATGTCTGTTATCATTGGTTGGAAATAAAATACACGAAATCACTGGGACTTCCAGGTCCAAGGTAAAGCTTCATAAAACTAACCAGTTAAAGGAGAAACAGTGCACTATATTATCAACATATAAACTGGCTATATAAATATTTCATAACATACATTCATTTTATTTTGGATATAAATTGCCATTTGTAGGTTTTGCTGTAAACCAGAAAAGATGCCAGAGGCTTTAATATCCAAAACGAATGAGGCTGTTGTCCTTTTTAGAAGCGACTATAAAAGTGAAACGACGCATCGCGGAGGATTTAAATTGGAATACTCATTACAATTACCAGGTTAAGTTTCAGCTTAATTAGTTATCGTAATAAAACTGTATTGAAAGGGGCAAAACAGCAGAAATACTATACTAGTAATATATTCAATTAATAAAAACATATATATTATGTGTAGAGAATCCTTGACCAATTGGTCATATTTAGAATGATAGCCCTTGAATGCAGTATATTTGATAATGTTCACCTGCACGGCAAACGATCAAACTGCCATTTGTGTTCCATATTCGATACTTTTTATTTTTGTTTTTGCTGGTTTGGACAGATTCGTCTTGTGAAGCAGCATTGGGTTTGACCACGACTTTAACAACTAAAACTTCTGCCCCAACAGTTCCAGACATATCTAACCACACGGATGGCAATATAAGTAGGTGACAACTTAAGGGCATAAACCCTTAGTCCCTCCCAAGAAGTAACCGTATGTGATTATTTATGGGATAGATTTCAATTTCCACAATTTAACATCTAACATAGTTGACTTCAATGCATGAAATAGTGGCCTTAATGTTAAAGTGTGATGAATACAGTCAGAAAATAGAAGTGGGCGTTGCACACTGGGTCAAAGGGCATGCCTTCGGGTGGCTGTCTTAAATACCCTTATTCTGAAAAATGTAATTGTAAGTTTAATTTAATATCATGATTGTTTACCAGGAGGCCTAAAATAGCTTATGATAAAGTGTATATGTTTGGTATTATAATTACCAGGACATAATTATGATTCATAGTCAAACGAAAAACTTCTTACTCGAAGCTAGAATTCAATCGTCAAATCGCTGCTCCTATGCTATAGCACAGAGCCACCTACGAGGGGTGATCAGGAATTTCTGGACCGTTGGCTCTATTTTTGCCATTTTTTATTCTTTCTTAATGATTTTTTCACACAATGTAACCCAAATATATAGGATTACACCATGACTATTTCATTGTTCTTCGACATCATTATCCTATTATTTTTGTTACCATGGTAACCGATGACGCAATAAGGTGGAGCTTGCTATTATGTACTTAGATTTGTTATAAGGAAAACCATGAAACTTCAAATAGATTATAGTTTTAGCTTTTTCGATCTGAATTTTAACTGAATGACAGGTGATTTTAAATCAACTTAACTGAATGACAGGTGCCCTCGGTGTCATTATGGTTCTCCAAAAGTGACTTCAGCACACTATTCGTAAGGAGAGGGGTATGGAGTTCTTCAAGAGATTTCGTTTACACAATGATAACGCACTACCCCACAGAGCAAACCTCACACAAAATGTGATTGATTCCATCGGTTTTGGCCGTGTACCACAGGCATCATATTCCCCAGACTTAGCTGGCTTTGATTTCTATCTTTTCCCCACAGTGAAGAACAAATTAAAAGGTATCGACTTTGAGGACAGTAATAAGATTATTTGGGACTTCACACGCCAATGCTACAAAGTAGGCAAAGACGACCTGTATCACATCTTTCGGGACTGGGTGAAAAGGCATAACAAATGCTTACAAAATGCTTCTTTGAACGATAAGAATTAATGGAAGAATAATTACAGTTACGATGAACATTAATGCATATACTTAATGAAATAATACAATCTATTACAGTATGTCACATATTCAGCAATGAATACAGTGTCCAAATATCATATGAAATTACTGTGGGTTTTTCAAATTTTGTACTTTTTCTGGGCTCCACCACGTCGCGTCACCGATTACTATGGTAACAAAAATAAAAGGATAATGATGTCATAGAACAATGAAATCTTCATGGTGTGGTCCTATATATTTAGGTTATATTGTGTGAAAAAATCACTAAGAAAGGTTAAAAATGGCAAAAATAGAGCCAACGGTCCAGAAATTCCTGATCACCCCTCGTATTGTCAGAAAACAACTTCTTTAATATAGCATTTCATATACTACAGCAACGGGCGATCAAACTCCTCCAAGAACCACACCATCAAGACGAACAAAACCAACAGCACCACCGGTGGAAGACCAACTATGCGGGGGTTGCACAGGTCCTCCTAATTCAATTCAACCAAAATGTGAAGTATGTCCTAATTCTTCATGTAATTTCACAGGTTTTACCGTTATACTATCCCTTCCTGGGGAATAGCAGCATTAAAAAAATCAGCATTGAAAAAAAAATAATAACATTTATTTAATCACATCTTGCCATAGTGAAATCGAAAATGATAATGAATTCCCCTGGCCATCCTCGTATTCCATTCTCTGACAACATGATGAAGTCCATTTGTACATTCTGTCCCCCAAGAAATACCAAGAGGACCCTCGTTACCTAGATCTTTACTGTTCTAAAAAGTATATATCATACTGAATATGCATTTCCAAGTTGTATAACTCATCCAAATACTGAACATCATATAGTAGTCCAGAGGTTTTAAGAGAAGGTTTTTATTTTTGGCGTAATTCAACCCCTATCGTTAGCAGCATGCCTGATCCTATCCTATGATCCATCATAATGATTTAAAGAGTATTGAAGATTTTTGTCAAATGCAGATAAACTTCCATTATACATAATTACATTGGAAATCCATTCTTAAGAGTAAGAATATGGGTACTTAAGCAGGACATTAAAGCTAAACGAATGGACTTTTACTTTTTTTGCTTGGTACTAATAATTGATAATATTTTAGACAGAGTCGAAATGTAAACTACCAAGTGGTTTAAAGGTTGACTGCAAAAAGATGTCATGTTGTAAAAATGCTAGAGCAGTAAACAGCACGCATTGCCAAGGTGAGTACAGGTACAGTATAGATGTTATTTTACGACAACGACATTCACTTTTACCACCATCAGCACCACGATCAATGGACCACGTAGTGTATCGCGAACAAATTTTGAACTGGGAGTATCGTTAGACCACATAGTCGTCTTTTTACATTAGGACAATATTTTATCTCAACTAAATCATATAGCAAGCCTAATTTTAAAGATATCAATTTTGGTGACCAAAATGTAAAGTGAGAAAATAATTGGAAAAATAACGTGGTTTTCAACTTGATCGCTACTTATCCATTATTAATTGGTAAAATCCAAAATACTTTTTTTTATCATTTTTTGTGCTTAAGTTGGAGAGGACATTTTTATGTAAAATCAGGTATGCGCGGACTAACTAAAACTAAAAACTAACAATTCCCCAAGTCAAAGATAAAACTGTCCAAAATTCTAAACATTCCACTATCTGGTCTTTTATAAATTGTTCTGATTTCATCCATATTCATAGTTCTTTATAAAGAGTTACAAACGGTCTTGAGTTTGTCTTGACAGAGGCAAACACTAAACGTAAATATTATGTAACAGCGTATACGTTAACATATTTTAGTTCCAACGTGCCGAAATTGGGACCCTTGGTCAATATGCTCGAGGAGTTGTGGTGCCTGTGGGATACAAATAAGATATAGAACATGTATCTACAAAAATCCAGAGTAAGCACACCAACACATTGTTAAAAGAAAGAAATGGCGTTAAATGCCTGGATAAGCAAAGACAGACGGAGAGTTTGAATGCTGGTGCCAATTTATAATATTTAACTCGTTCATGTAATTTAGGATCAAAATTGCGAACTCTACCCCTTTGAAATTTCTGCAGTTTTGGAATCATAGTCGTTTCTGGTTCACATGGATCATTTTCTCTTCTAATTTTCCAGTCTAGAATTTCAAGGATCCCAAGAACGTGTATGTAAAACGCAAGTTTGTAAACCTGAGTGTGAGGAGAAAGTTTTATGTAAATTACTAAGGCCTTGGAACGAACAGCACTTGTGCGAAAGGTATGTTCTCAATTCTTCTTGCTGTACTAAAATGCATTTTAAGAGGCGTGATTCTTTGTCCATTATTTTGGTTTATCACAGTTGTTTTTAATAATTATTAAACATTAGATTATATTACATTATTCAATGAATTATATTCGGAACGAATGCCAACTTATGAAGTTCTACAATCAAGCAGGTACAATTGTAAACAGAGGACCCCCGCATGATATATCTTAAAATATTTATACTTAAAAGTTATTGATATCAATATTCGTCTACTACTGCTTTGGCTACATACCTGGTATGTACGAGTGTATTGAATTGTTTCGTTTTCAGACTTTGTAAGCCTTGTTGCAAGCCATATACTGAAGAAGATGGCCAGTGTGTCATGTAAGCTAACGAAGTTAACCCAAAGACAGCACCAGATGATAGTAGCATCATTGATTATCAAGGAGGATGTGCTCCCAGGATCCAAACACGATATTTTCCAACAATGAAAACGTTGAAATGTCGTTATTCTCTGAAATTAAAACCGACTATTAATTCAAAATAAACAGTTCAAAAGATTCGAAAAATTTCTTGTGAATTTTGAAATTTTTTGTTAGGAAATAAGACCAAAATTCACGATTCAGATGTTGAACTGAACAAAATGGCTGCTGTTTAATTGAATTCGAATTTTGTATCACAACATGCCCATATATGGGACAAAATATCGATGTTGCACTCTGGAAGCCAATACGGCCTCCTTGATTGATTTCGAATTTTCCCAGTGAGTGAGTGTGCTGTACTAGCACTAGTTCTGTGTATGTGCATATATTTATCAGAATAAAGTACTTCTGAATTTGAAAATATTGTCCTGGATTAAATGTTGCAAAATATTGCATATTGCAAAATCAGACCGCGATAGAATATTAACGTGTTGTATTTGTAGGGCTGTAGTTAATTGGTTACTGGATGACATATAATTAGATATGCAACTAAGAACCTGAATCCCAGAATCACACGATGCATGAAATGCATCGGCAAAACTCATCGTTCGAGTCAATTTAGATTTTATACTCAAATGCTTCATGGCATAGGACCACTGCTAGAAAAGAAATATTTGAACTTCAATACTGGATTTGGTATCAGATTTGGTTCACATTTATGTATGTGCATATAATATCTGCTAGACAAAATATTCCAATTCCTTAAATAAAAATGGCTGCTATTTTTGTTTTGAATGAAGTTTGTTCTTATCATTAGTTATCAGATAGGCCTATGCTAAGAATTGATAGGCTTACAGTTAAAAGTTAGAAAATCTCCCCTCATCATTCTCCCAGGGTTTTTGCTGGTCTTTTTCGGAAGCTTGAAAGATTTGTTTTCAATGATCCTTCCTGGGTTTAACCCATTGAAAACAGTGGAACGAAATACGGCAAATATTTCCCAATTCACCACTTGCATATTTCCTATGACATAAAACCGTAAAACAAGACACACTTCAAGGAGTACCTGACTGTTCCTTGTGCGTTGAATAAAGTCTGGTTTAAATCAAGCCTAATCAGTCTGATCTATCAATTGCAAAATTAACAAAATATCAGCCAACCAGCCCCAACACACGCGTGAAGGACCCGTTTATATTTGTAGCCCTAGCTTTAACCCCAAGTCTAGTTTTAACCCCCACCCTAGCTGATTTTGACGCTAAACCTAGATGTAACCCCTAACCTTAGGTCTAACCCTAACCTCGACACTAAATCTAACCCTAGCTCAACCCTGGTACAAGCTTTAACCCTAACCCCATCTTTTACCCTACCATCGTCTTTAACCCTAATCCAAAAGCCCAAAACCCTAAACATTAACCCTTTCAATTCGATTTTTGAAATTTGTCAAAGGAGTGGTATCGATATGGTGAACTTTCTGAACACACGTTTCTCTTAAACCAGTCATTAAAACATTCTGAAATTCTGAATTTTACACACCGTCAATTTAATGATCATCTTTTTGATGGTAACATTATAATTTGAAATATATATATAATTACTTTTCATTATATTGTTTTAGAAAACACATCGGACATTTCTTTTGTACTTGGTATCATATGTTCGGAATGAAATGAAACATCCATCCGAACCCAATTGGAACAAAACGACATAAACACAACGTGTTTAGGTCTCTCAATATTGTAATTGTACATAGGAAAAGTATTGGTTGATTTTAGAAAAGTATCATGTTAATGAAATAAAAGGTTTATCTTAATGTTTTATCTATTTTGGGAGGTTTTGTTTTACGTTTTTGCATACCATTTTTAAATCAACTAAAATTTCCTTTGTATAACTATAATATTGAGTGGACTAAGAAAATGTTGTGTATGCTATTTTGTTCCAACAAGGTTCGGAAAGACATTTTATTTCATTCTCAAGAATTGGTAGAAATGAACAAAAAACAATTGCAAAAACAAAAAATGTTAACAATTTAAATCAACTAAAATTTCCTTTGTATAACTATAATATTGAATGGACTAAGAAAATGTTGTGTATGCTATTTTGTTCCAACAAGGTTCGGAAAGACATTTTATTTCATTCTCAAGAATTGGTAGAAATGAACAAAAAAACAATTGCAAAAACAAAAAATGTTAACAAAATAGTTATATAAAATATATATAAATATTTGTTTGCATTAAATTGTTGCGAATCAGTCAACATTACATAAAGGACAGTGTTTTTACAGAATGAAAAAACAGAGAAAAACATTGTTGAATTCAGTTCACCATATCGATACCCATCCTTTTATGTTTTGAGTTCTTATATCTCAAAGCTGGTGAAAAATTTCTGAAAATAATGATATACTCAATCGTATAGGAACTTTAAAGGAATGCTTTTCCCGAATATTAGGCAAAAATATTGAGAAACTTAGGTAATACAGTTTGTGATTTAGTTTGATGACCTTGACCTTTGACCTTGCACATTTTACTTTTGTTACATTAGACCTCGGTAGGTCTTTTGTGATTAAATTTACCTTAATTAATTCGAATCTGAAAAATCAAATTGAAAAATCAATTGGGTTAGGCTTTGAGAGGTCATTTAAGGTCAATTAAAGGTCAAAGCCCAAATTTTATTTCAGATTTGAACTCCTGGTAACTTAAATCAGTTGATATGAAGCAAATATCAAATGACGATTTTGAGCATTATTTTAGACCAAAATATCTCAAAAGTGGTAAACAATTTCTGTTTAAACTTTCGGCTAACCCTATAAACATAATCTCATTAATAATTGCACCAGATTTCGGCTTTAAATATTGAATATTTATTGACCATTTTGAGTAAGCAGAAAAACATTTTCTTGACCTAGATTTTGACCTTGACCTAGATTTAAAAAAATTTCCCGCTTAGTTCAGCCAAGATCAAGCGAGAGGCCACATAGGAAATAAGGGTGTAGGATAGAATAATCGAAAAATCCCAAATTCTTGAAATTATATTGGAGGAGGAGTCCTCTAAATTATTACATGTTTTTGCCATACGTGCTTCTAATTTTCTGAACAACATTTGACTTGCCGTTTCGGTAGGCATTTCCTAGATATTGTTAATTTAAATCAGCATACTACTCATCTGATTTACTCTGGCTGCAACTTCAAGAGGTTTGCATAATTCTTAATAAGTGAAACTATTATTGTATTGAATAGATGTCAGGTTTTTAATTTGTCTGAATAAAAAGTAGTTATAGATTTCAGAAAACACAGTAGAGAACAAGCTGAGCATCTGTTCCGTAAAATTATTATACTAAATTGTTTCCTCATCCAATTAAAACCTATCGATGTGCAGTAAAACCTTATTTAGATGACGATATTAAACGAATTGGATATTCATACGTAGAGAACGTCAAACGAATTTGGTCATAACCAAAGATCACGGAAATCCCCTAGTCAGCCAGGCCTGATAGTAGTCCAAGCAAAGATTGAGTGTGACAGACTTCTATTTTTATTCATGTTACATTTAATTATAAATTGTTTACACAACTAAACATTTAAGAGGGCCTATTAAGGATCATGTACTCACATATATCCTGTAAAAGTATGAAGTCACCTCATTTTATATTTAAGAAACATTTAGCCTCACTGGAGATGTAAAGGAAATGAAGTTTAATGCTAATTATTCTAAGCCAACCAAAAAGATACCATTTGCAAGTGAGTCAAAGATGTTAAAACTCACATCATGTACTGTGTTTTTTTTTCAAAAAATCATTGACTGTGTTGTCGGCTTGGATGTCCAAAAATGTAAATATGATGACAAGGTCTTTGTTAGAATCGAGGTCAAATGTTTGGCGGATTATTGCAAGAAATAACCCCAACTAAAATTATGATCAAATTATTGGCTAGAACATACGATTTAAATAGAAGACGTTACACGGCTGATACACTTGTGTTCTCTTTGAGCTTAACAAAAGTGCCTCTGGTAAAATTGCAACGAGCAAGAAGAAGGTAATACTAGATATGTATATATACAGGGTTGGTCAATAAAATACCGAAGTTTAAAGATGAATATCACATAATATACGGTATGTTCAATCATTCCAATATTATATAACATTTGCTAACAATATTGTCGCGCCGGGACGTTTCCAAGGAGTACCCTGTATCTCAACTTCAGGGAAAGGCCAGGGACGATATAAGGGATCTTTGAGGCGTTGTATTTGGGTGCCGACCTGATTTGGTGGTACGGCAGTTACCTTTCAAAGATGGCAAGATAACAATGATATACAGGGATTTTAAAATCTATTCCAACATAGAATAATGGTACAAATAATTTCAAAAAATGTCTATATAGAGCTTGAATGTCTCTGTAATTGTTCACTTCAGCTTCTTCCAGTCTTCTCTCTCTTCTAATAACTCCTCTTCTCACAAATAACCTTCTTGAATAATTGTAAGAGGAGGAGGATCTGCTCCTCTGAACTATCTTCACCCTCTAGGAGGTCCTTCTGCTCTAGGTATCGTCTCGTCTATCTCACTGTTGCAATGTGATATCTATGGAGGAGGAACCACTCGGGAATGTCAATCAATACTCTGAGATTAGACCCGAGTTATAAATGCTCCAAATAATCTTCACTGCGCTGTCCCTCAGAGTAGTCTCGTCTCAGAGGAATCGGGGCTCCGCAGAGATAAGACCTGTGGGATGTAACTGCTCCCAGTAAACACACACCAATGTCCCTCAGAGTCTTCTCACCTCGGAGGAATCAGGGCTCCAGGAGTTTTGGTTCCGGAAGTGTAACCTCGGCTCGAGGAGTTATTGTATCTCTATAAAACTCTATGGAGGAGGAACAACTCAGGAATGTCAATCAATAATCTGAGATTAGACCCAAGTTATAAATGCTCCAACTAATACGCACCACAATGTCCCTCAGAGTCGTCTCACCTCGGAGGAATCAGAGCTCCAGGAGTTTTTGGTTCCGGAAGTGTAACCTCGGCTCAAGGAGTTATTTTGTCTCTATAAAACTGTCTCGTGGAAGGGGTCCAGGCTCCGGGAGTATCT